AGCACATGCAAAAATGAGCTAACGGTAAGGATCATACAGTGACGGGCAATCTTCCTACCTTCATGTAGTTGAATGCAAGCTAGCATTAGCACCACAGCAAAGAACAATCAGTTCTAGCTTTATTTCTGTGTAAAAGTAACTAGTATATCTTGTAGTCATCTCTGCTCATTAAAAAAATAGTTGATGCTTCAATGAGGAAGGAATGCCTCTCCTTCCCTTTCAATTGATGGGTCAGCTGTTCTCTATCAGAGCAACGCTGTAAACCTAAAAACAATCCTCCCCAACAATAATTCATACCAGAAATCAAGGGCCGGCGGTGCAAGGCATTACTGAAATTGAACGCGGCACCTTCTAAAAGTCGAAGCCATCCAGGAGAATTATGGTTGGTGAAATCTGAGGACCGTCCTGTCGACGAGGAGCAACAGAGTTATGTAATTTAAGCCTGTGAAGGTTTCAGAGATCAATCAGAAAAGATGGAGGGTAAATGGAGGCAGGCTGAGAAACAAACTGTAGTGCAGTAGCGCCAGCCTTCCCTTTTGCTTCCCCAGCACCACTCTGGGTGGTGAGGGATGGTCCTGAACAGGCGGCCCCCGCTAACCCGTCTGCTATTTTTATACCCACTGATACAGGGGTGGAAGGAACCAGCTTAACCAGCGAAGTGACGAGAAAATATTGTTGGCCTCAACTTCACAGCCAGTAAAGCCTATTGTACGAACATGTTGAGGAAAGCTGAGGCAGAATTAGCTTCGTGTTAGTTTATAATAAACTTGGAGCTCCAATAGTGTAACTCAGGACACCCTGTGTGTTTTCATCAATCAGTCCATCAAGTTTATGTTTCATTATTGTCATGTGAAAGCATCTCTTTATTCCAGATTGAAAGGAAATCACCGTTTTGGCTGTTTTACAATGTTCCAAAATTTTGTTTCAGATTTTTGCTGCACATTTATAATAATGTTTAATATCTATTTTAATATGTACAAATGCAAGGTTACAAACACTGAATGTTAAAAATGTTATAAGAAAAGCATTTTCTGATGAGGAATCACATTACAGGTGCAGATAAGAATCGATTCTGTAAAGAATTGCTGTTGCTTGTCCTGGAAGTCCTGGATCACCTCAAAACGCTCTATTGATTTTAAAATACATTTACGTAGCACGTCTTTGGCGCTCTTATTTATGAGTATATAGCGTTATGCTAGTCCCCTCGGCGATAATCTTGATATTTTTTATTTAAGAAAAAGCAAGGCAGCTGAGCAAACCTACTGGTAATTTAAGCTACTGAATTTTATGCACAAACCAATTTTTTAAAAATAGAAACCAATGAAGCCTTACAAAATATATATATATATATATATATATATATATATATATATATATATATATATTATTTTTTTTTCTTTAAATACTGACAAGTGTATTTGTTTACACTGATCAGAATCTCTAGACCGTTTGAATAGAAAAATTTATGTCTGAATTGAATTTTGACCCCAAAAATTAGACTGGTATCTGTAGACACTGAAGATTAGCATCTCCAAATGTAAATAGGACAACTCCGTATAATTAATTTCCACTGGAAACAGCAACTTTTGAGTCTGTTAAGGAGGTCAGAAAAGTGTTTAGAAGAAGAGACTCTGGACAGACAGTCCAGTTTGTCTGTCCAAGCAGGTCCACCCTAAGAGCAGACCGCAGGATGCTAACAGAAGCCTCTCCATATGCTGTATTTGCTTTTCTCCAAACACGCAGTAAATTCTGCAGTTAAATCAACACTATGCCGAGTCCATTTGGTCCTTATCGGAATTGGTGTTAATTTAACTCTTTTCAGAGTCGTTTCAACAAAACTTGGCGTAGTTATAACTTTTTCGAGTGTTAAAACTACTCAGTTTTTAGTTGAAATAACTCTGAAAAGAATTAAATTAATTCTGATAAGGTCCAAATGGACTCGGCATAGTGTTGAACATCTCGACTTTGGTCTCATCTGTCCCGAAGACAAAAACCTTTCAAGTTTCTTTCGGATCCAGTTTCACAAACTTCTGCAGCCCAAACTGTCTTTATTTTACAAACTATTCAGTCCCACCAATGACCGTCAACAACTCAGTCCCATCCATTTTATTGACATCAAATACACAATGTATGTCATCTTCTAGATTCTTTTCAAGAAAACATTTTACCAATTTATCATAAAGGTAAGTTACAGTCATTGACTTGTAGTACATTCAAGTATCAGGCAGTCTAATTCAATTTATAGGGTTAATTTTGGGACGAGGAGCAGCCTAGTCAAAGTCCTAGTTTAGATCTTATCTGCAGAGGGAGCCAAAGATTAGGGAGATTACTGAAGTTAAATAATCAAAGTACCAAAGCAAAAAAGCTGCTCACAGTATCAATCTGTGTGGATAAATGGATAAAACTTGCATTTTCTTTAATAATGTAGTTATGTACTCGTATTAGCTTGAATTTAAATTAAGCCAAACAACATCTTTGCCCCCAAACAAAATGGTATTTTAAAGTGAAACATCAGTTTGTCAACAGAAAATCTGTTTCAGAACAGGAAACGGATCCCCAGTCAACCTGGACAAATTCATCCTTTAAAATAAAACTGGAAACAAAAAACAGATTTCACCTCCCTTCAACAGAAGAATAGATCATCACAAGTTTAGAGGACAGATATTGTTTGTCGTCGTCTCCTGCGGCTGCCTGTCATAACAATGACATTTCAGTTGGATTAAAGCAGATTTCACATCACTAAAGCAACAAAACAAGCCCTAAAACTGGGATATGTTGGCCTTTCAAGTTAAAGCCCAAACACACCCTTCAATATAAAAGCCTCAGTATTTCAGGGTGTTGTTTTTTATTTAGTCTGGATTTAAAGAACGGGTACGGATCTCCTCATGGGGTTATGGAAAGGGGATTACATGAGCCTTTCAAAATAAAAGCTTACAGAGTAAGTAACTGATTAACAAAGAGGTTTAGGATTCCTGGTAGATTTTAAAATCAGAGCAGATGCAAGATAGATTAATATAGAATAGAATATACTGCCTTTTTGTGCCGGAAAGTGTTTTAAATTTATTTATCCACTGATCAAACATTTGGAAACGAATGTGGTTTTATTTTGGTTCTATATTTTCAGTATTTATTGGTTTTGTTGACTTCTGTTTTGCAGTTTGGATCTGCCACCTTTGGTCTTCAACAAAGCTCAACAAAACAGCTTAAACTTAGGCATTAATTAATGCAAATCAATTAAACCAAACCGTTAACCTCATTAACCAAATGGTTAATGTTGCTTACTGGACTCAGACATTATAAGAAAACCCTTAAAGTTGATTTTGATCTAATAAATCAAGCTAACCACTGACTGAAACGTGAAGTTGCAACAGCTAACTCTGAGCCAGATCCAACTCCCGCCACATTCGGAGCGCTGAGCCAGGCCAGCGGGAAAACCGGAATGGTTGGAAAAGGCCAGGACACAAAGAGCCAGCTGCTCTCCTGCAGAGCTCAGGAGGAAGCAGGGCTCACGGTTCGCTGGGGGTTTGCTAATAGTCCGACTACGTCACATAATAAAGGCAGAGTCTGAAGACGCGTCTTTGACTTCATCCAGCTTCCCTCAGTGACTAAGGTAAACTCGCCCGCTGTGAATGAAATACACTAGATGGAGCTTCAACTGGAGATTCTCGAGGCTCTGATGACAGCCATAAAATGTCAAAAGGAATTTCAGCCAAAGAATTGGATAATGAAGTATCGGTGTAATCTGAAGTTACCAGGAATATATTCCTCCAACATGTTTTTTTAAACTAAGCCGAACCTCAGTGTGAGGTTTGCACCTCGTAAACACAATGTTTCACATACATTTATCTTATTTGTGTTGCATTTCCTGAACACGTTTAATAGATTCATATATTTTTTATCAATAGTTTTTTATATATTTTATTTGAATACAGTTAAAATAACTTTATACATAACATTTATATTCATGATTTCATTTAGATTCACTCAATTTAATTTACATTTAATTTCAAATTAAATACTTTAAATCTAATGTTACAATTTATAGTATGCTGTAATCATAGTTTTCATTTATTTAATATTTTAGTCATATATGAAAAATTAATTGTATTCAAATATAAATATTCTTAATGATATATCTAAATTTGCAAAATATTTAAAAGGTGAGTTTTAATGTTCTGAAATTGTTACAATTGAAGTTTAATAAGCATAAAATTAAAGGTGAGTGAATATAACAATGGAATAAAATTCAAATGGCAGAAATCTTTTTTATTCATTAATTTGTCTTCAGAAAGGAGCTTTTTTTCTTCTAGTCTTCGCTGTAAGGTCCAATTTTCAGATTTGATAAAGTGGCTTTAAAATCTCTTGGCTGGCAGTATTGATGTCTAAAGCACTTCAGTATAATCACACACACTGTCTCTCTCTCACACACACACACACACACACACACACAGCACTTCCCCTTCCTGGTGGAGTGCAGGATGTGCTGCTGGAGAACTAAGCAGTTTTTCTCCTCCCTGCTGCTGCCAGGAATGCTTTATGAGCCGCGTTAATATCGGCGATCCGCTGCCAGAAGGATTGCCTGATTCAATCAAGCGTCTCACTGCCTTGTAAAGTCATTACGCTTTGTGCAACGTCATGCGTTCTGGAGCCGACCAGCAGCCCTGTGTTTTATCCCGCCGTTTGGAAGTGGCCGCAGATTTTCCAGGAACGGTAAATAACCGGGAGAAGCTTTTCCCACCCAATCGCTGCTCCCGGCTGAAAGTTAGAAAATCTCTGGAAATGTGCATTTGAGGAAGTTTATATCTGAAAGGGAGGAGGGAAAGCACTGTGACCTCACTGACAGCATCTCCTGAAACTGTGTCACTTTACCGAAGGGAAAACTTGGACTATGCCTCCAGAAAACGCAAAGATGACATGGAATATTTTTGGACAAATAGTGAAAGAGAACTCCCAAAGAAGAAAAGCAGCCGATCACTGAAGGCTGGAGAAGCAGGACTTACCTGTCAGGGTGGTGGCTGGTGGGACGGAGAAGTGAGGAGAGTCAAAGGGTCCCGGGGCGGTTCGGGTGGATGGGGGTCCCGGTTCGGGCCGGAAGCAGGACTGGAGGGTGGTCCAGGTCAGGGGAGGAAGGATGGAGTGACAGGGAGCAGGGGGGAGAAAAATAAACGCTGCTTGGCTCTCCCTCCCTCTCTCCGCTCCTTCCTCTCGTTAACTCTCCTTGCGACACACACACTCACACACACTCGCTCAGAGGCACAACGCTGAAGTCACTCAGATAAAAGCCGGAGAAAGACTTTACATTTACAAGCTCGGCTACAGGAGCAGGGGGAGGATGCCCGGAGCTGCCCCTCCCAACCTGCAGCCGGCCAATGGGTGGAGGCAGGCAGGAGACGAACCAGCCAATCACAGCAGGGACAGCCAGTCGCTCATATCCAGCTGGAATAATTAGAAAGTAAACAAACATGGAAAGCTGCTGGTCTGAAGGAAGGTGAACGCTGAATGGTTTACAGCCTGTAACTGAGAGATCACCAGCAACTGGAGGAGCCGCGATGCCATGAACCCTTCTACTACACATAGAAAGTACTCCTCGATCAGATCCTCTGTTTCTTTGTGTCTAGACTCTGTTTTCTCAAACTCCCAGTCAGCAGTGGCAGGTGGCAAGGAAGGAAGGAAAGAAGGAAAGGACAAAGATGACAAGGAAGGAAGATGGGAAGGAGTGAAACTACAAAAGGAGCGACTAGGAAAGGAAAGAGTAAGGAAGGGGTGATGACAGGAAGGAAGATGGACGGGACGAAGTTAGGAAGGCACGATGATCGGAAGGAAAAAAAGACACAACGATCAACAGGAATGAAGGAAAGATACCGATGCAAGAGGCTAAGATATGCAAGAAGGATGAGACTAAGATTGGAAGGAAGGAAAGAAGGAAGTGACTAACATAGGAGGAAAGAAAAGATTCAAGATAGGAAGGAAGGAAAAAGCACAACTACAAAAAGATCTAAAGAAACAAGGAAGGAAGAGGGAAGGATGAATGGAAGGGACTAAAGTAAAGAAAAGGCGAGGATAATAAGGAAGGAAAGGAGGAAGGACGGATGGAGGGACTGGGTCTTGGACTGGCCAATGAAAGTTCAGTATTTTGTCAGAAAGCTCCAACATGGAACCAGAATCTCCAGCTGAAGAAACAGAATCAGTTTCCTTTAAAGCTGCTTCACCATAGAAAACCACCAGTTTAGTTAATTTCCTTCACCAAACTGATCATGAAAATAAATCAATCTCTCCAGCCATGTCTTGATTCAGCGCCTCTAAATATTTTAAAGCTGCCAACTTGGAAAAGTCAAAGTACTTATGTTGTTTCATTTACAATTTCAAGTCTGTTTGTTTTTTGTTTTTTTTTCAAACTTTCTGGATTGATAATTTGGAAAGGAAATGAATTTCCCAATAGCTGCGGACTGTAGCATCCACAGAGTAGGAGGCGGCCCAGACTCCAAAGCAGCGCTGCCATTTACAACGGCACAGTTTACCGAACAGAACCGATACGAGGCCCGTCTGTGTGTCAGCGGGAGAGGAACAGACATAAAAAATTCATTAGAGGATGGAAGGAGATGTCACATCGAATATGTAGCCGACTGCACTGATGACCGGGAGCAGTCAGCTGTGCGAAGACGATGGAGCAGCTTTGGACGCCATCCTGCAGACCTGAGCGCCGTCATCAGCCAGGAGGAGAGAGCAAGCTGGAAAACACACATCTGATTTAGAGATGGTGATAAAGTGGCATTTCTTTGGTGGATAAAAACACTTAAATGGCACAAGATTCACACAGAGGCTTAAAGACAATGAGGCGTGTTACATATGTGATTTAAAGCCAGTTAGCTCTGGTCTTAAACACCTCGGATCCTAATGTTCCTACTCAAAATATCAGGATGGAATCAGAAGTAGCACACTTTAAAATTCAGTGAAAACGAGACTTATTGGAAAAGTATAGCAGCTTCTTTAAAGCAAAATGTAACAATTAGTGATATTGCATGATAAATTTCACCTGAACCTTCAGACAGGACGGAAATGGAAGTTGGAGGAATCCAGGCATTGGCTAAATTCAACTGGATCGAATTGATCAAATTTAAAATCCTGTATCAAACTGGGATCCAAAAACACTCCAGTGCTTGCATTTCAGTTTTCTTTTGTTTTCATATTTTCTCATTGTCAGAATGAGAATATTCACACCTCTGTTCATCCGCTAGTGGAGAAGCTAATGCTTTGTTTAGCGCATTTGCTAACGTTGACGAACATTCGCAACACTTGGATTTTACCCCCAGTTATGTTTTTGGATTCATTCTTTGTTATTTTTACATGTCCTTTCACAAACTGAGGATAGAAGAGTAAACTCTGTCGCTGCTGCATCCTGAGTGCACAAACGAACATCGCAGATCCTTTCCCAGGAGTTTGCAAACTCAAGAACGGTTTACATTCCTTCTGTTGACAGTTTTTCTATTTGTTGTACTGTTTTTGTTTTATATGCACAAATATAGACATCTTGAGCAAATGCCTTTTTAATAATTAGTGTTTTTCTTGCAGTATCAATTTATTCTTACGGTAATGTCTTATATTTTGTATTTTGCATAGTTTTTATTTCTGCTGCTACGCCTGAATCTGCCCACAGCTTGGAAATGAAAGATATTTCTATTCAATACTACCGTTAAGTTTTTCCAGGCTGATTCCCAAATAATTCAGGATATTTCCTGACTTTGTAAACTTGGTGGTTGTTTTGTGCTCTAATTCCCAGAGTTTTATCTGTAGTAGTTACATTAAATACATTAGAAGCTCAAAGAACAAAGCAGCTTTGTAGGTTTAGTTAAACTTGGGTTGGCTGTCAGTGAGTCAGAACCACTGAGTAAATACAGCTTACACATCTGACAACTGCAGCGTTTTTTCTCCGCCTTGAGTCTAATTAAAGGCGCCCAATACGTGGTTGTCGCGTAGTCGTATCATTACCCTCACTGCGTCGTTTCACAGTACTTAGCCATTACTGAGCCTCCGCTAAACACAGCCGTCCTCAGATTATGATCCCACTCTGCAGCTGTGGGTCAGCGCTCGCTCCCACTCTAACCTCCGTCAGTCATGGGGACTTTAATAAATAACATGCCATTCAGGGAGTCCAGATCTCTTCCCGGAGAGTTTCTCAGGCGAGGACAGAGGAGTTTAACAGGAAGTTATGATGCTGGTTTATTTTCCTGTCTGTCTGCAGCGACGCTTAGCCCTCAGGTCAATTAATATCAGCCTTCTAACCATTCAAAGCTGGAAATCTGAACACGCAGATTGGATGAAACCGAGTGGGAAGTGACAGCTTGTCCTGATTATTTTTAGGTTGTCCCACGACTTATCATGCAACGGGCAAATGGATATATGTGAGACCGGATCCGTAAAACGATGCCTTCAGGCTCCAAATGTTTAATCCAATCATTTTATGGCGTTTTAATTTTTTATTGACTGATAGGCTCAGATCCTAAAGTTTTTATCTTCTACAAAGTGGTCAGAAACAAACTTATAGGCATCTGGCTGGAGCGGATGAATCAATCAGAAAATTAATTTGTATTTATTCCTAGTGCCAATTCACAGCAATTTCTCTAAAAACAAAAATAATCAATCATTCACTGCAATCAATCCGAGTCATCAAACGACACATTAAGCTCAAGTGTTTATTCAAAGTAGATCAAAATGTTTCTGAAATCCCAACAGATTGCATCTGGGCATGAGGAGGTGGCGAAGTGCCCCTCATACCGAACAAGCATGTAGCGACAGTGGACAGGAAAAACTCCCCTTAACAGGAAGAACCCTCCAGTAGAACCAGAACCGGTCTCAGTTCAATCGGCCATCTGCCCCGACGGACCGGAGGTCTGAGAAGAAACAGAAGAACTGATGTAGGATCATTTTCAACTTTCATGAAAGTAAAAAGTTAATTGTAGAAGAGGAGGAGCAGTTAGTGGATGGCAGCATCATCCCTCCTACAGGAAGGAATCACAGCCAATCAAACGCCAGAGCAGGAGTAGCTTATTAAAGAGAAAATTAATGGAGAAAACAAAAAGTTACACCAAAATAACAGTAAATGATGCGAATAGAAGAAAACTGTGGTCAGTTTGTATCCTAGTCGTCTAAGTCTGGCAGCGTAACATAAATATCTGAGGACGACTTGAGCCGGTCCATCAGCTTCGTCACTCAGCCTGAGATCAGTGAGGAAGTCAGACATGAACATTCAGAGACACATAAAGACAGTTACAAAGTCGGCCTTTTTTCATCTGACGAACATTTCATAGTTTCATAATTGGTGACTTCATGATGCAAAGCACTTTGAACTGCCTTGCTGCTGAAATGTCTGATACAAGCAGAGCTGACTTTGAGCCTGGCAGATTCCAGAGCGAGCTGCACTAATGGCATAGATTATTTATTAATTGGACCTGAAACCCGACCTTGGGTTCTGATCCTGACCAGGCCGGCAGCCGGGTCACCAGGAAACGACCCGGTGCTCCTGACGGCCGGCCCGTCCCACAGTCTGAGGTATCAAAGGTCAAAATGCTGTGAAGAAGCTACTAATTCAGTAAAGTGGTTCAGAAACCAGGTTAACTGGTCAGCTCTCTGAAATCCTGAAGAGTCTGTGCAAATCAAATCCTCAGAACTGGATGAATTTTCCACAGATTTTTCAGTTTTTGTTTGTTTCAAAGATCAATCTCCAAATATGGGTGTCAGTTTATTAAAGGTCGTATGTTTTAAATATTTCACCCTGACTGGAAAACATGAAGGTTTGCATCATGTCAAAGCCAAATGTAATCCACTTTAACTCGGGTCAGATTGTTGCTCACGTTGTTCCTGTCAGCGTTTGGTGGGATCAAAAAACACTTTGAATGAAATGTTTCTGCACTTCAGATTACAAAACTCACAATTTATTGTAATGAAGAATATTAAACATTCCAGATTTCTCTGTAATCAAGTACTTTTATTGAATAAAGCAAAAGAGACGGAACAGCAGACATTTATTTTTCTTATTTAAAGTATTCAGAAGGAGATGGCTAGGCTAATAGTTTCCGTTTTCTAATATCAAGAAAACAGCAGCAAGTTCATTTCATTTCAAGACAAGTTGATTAAATCAACATCCAAGCAGCACAAATATTAATGCAGCACAAATATTAATGCAGCACAAATATTAATGCAGAGTTATTAGTCCGTGGAAGTTTAGATTTTCATGTGGAGACATTTTTCTCATATAAAAGTGAAAGAAAACACCAGTAGTGATATCCTTCAGGATTCCTGGACATTTAACCCAGAAAAATAAAAACGTTATAACGATGAACCCTGATCAACAGTCAGATCTATTTGGGTTTGCAGAACTCTGCAGCGGATCCTGGGCCAACCCAAAGCCCGGCCAGCAGCGGCTCAGTGAATCTGGTCTGGACTCTGTGGATCAGAGTCATGGTTTCAGAGACGCTGTAGAAGGACAGGAGGCCTGCTCCGTGGTCCAGGTACACTCCCACTCTGGAGGAAACCGGACCGGAGACGGCGGTTCGGATTCTTCTGTGTACCAGTTTATAACTCTTTTCTTGACAATCCAAAGCCCAAGATTTCTCATCGCCTCCAAATAAACATTCATCTCCTTCTCCTTCTCTGTTGATGTCCTTGTAAGCGACAGCGACATAAACCCATGAGCTGCTCTTCTCCACCTCCCAGTAACAACGTCCAGTCAGACTCTCTCTGCTCAGAACCTGAGAGCGATCAGTGAATCGGTCTGGATGACCGGGATAAGAGTTATGCTTTTTCATCCGTGTCACCTTCCTGTCCCCCTCTGATAGTGCCAGTACTGTGTGAGCCGTGTTTGGATCCAGAGTTATGTCACATGAATACTTTAAGAACCCAGCTCTGTTCTTTGGTTCTGGTTCTGACAGCAGAACATCCACCTCAGTGACCATCAGTGAGATGTTTGTCCATGAGTCTCTCAGGATGTCCTGTAGTTTGTCTCTGAGCTCTGACACAGCTGCTGCCACGTCCTCAAAGTGTCTCAGAGGACGAATGTTGATGCTGGATGAGTGTGTGGACTCACTGAGTGCTGGCAGTGAGGGGTAGTTGAGGAGAAACTGGTTGTGATCCTCTGTGTGTGAGAGCTGCTCCAGCTCAGCGTCTTTCCTCTTCAGCTCAGTGATCTCCTGCTGCAGCTTCTCCTCAACATCTTTGACTCGACTCACTTCAGTTTCCTGCTGGGATCTGATCTGCTGCTTCACATCAGAGCTTCTTTCCTGGAGGAGACGGATCAGCTGGGTGAAGATCTCCTCACTGTCCTCCACTGTTTTATAAGCAGAGTGATTGATGGCCTCCACCTCCTGATGAAGCAGCTTCACATCTTTCTCTCTCTCCTGGATTCTCTGATGGATGTTTCCTCGTCTCTCCTCCAGCTCTCTCTGCTTATTGGTCGTTTCTGCTGCAGCTGACACTGTGTCGTGACCTTTATGCTCATCCACAGAGCAGAGATAACAGATACACTTCTGATCAGTGCGGCAGAAGATATCAATCACCTTACCATGCTTGGAGCAGATGTTCTCCTGCAGGTTCTTGTTCGGCTCCACCAGCTTGTGTTTCTTTAAAGGAGCTGAATCGTAATGAGGCTGAAGGTGTTTCTCACAGTAAGAGACCAGACAGAATAAACAGGACCTGACGGCTTTTAATTTTCTTCCAGTGCAGACATCGCAGGCCATGTCTCCAGGTCCAGCATATGGGTGATCAGCAGGAGCAGCTGGGAGTTCAGTCTTCTTCATCTGCTCCACTAAAGCTGCTAGCATGGTGTTCTTCTTTAGTGCTGGCTTCGGTGTGAACGTGTCCCTGCACTGAGGGCAGCTGTGGATTCCCTTCTGGTCCTCTTCATCCCAGTGGGATTTGATACACTTCATGCAGTAGCTGTGTCCACACGCAGTAGTGACTGGATCCTTCAGTAGATCCAGACAGATCGGACAGGAGAAGGTTTCTCGGTCCAGCTGAACTGCCTGCTCCTCCATTTCTCCTCTCAGTCGCAATAACTGTTGGTTTCATTTCCTGAAAACAGAACAGGGTTGAGTTCTGACATGTGAGTCACATGTCAGAGCAGAGAAGCAGCAGCCAATTAGCGTTTAGCTTCAGCAGATGTTGGTTCCACCCAGCGTCAAAATGTGTTTGAGCAGGAAGAAGAGGGAGGGTCTGGCTTTGATTCCAGGAAGTGGACGACTATTAAAGTAAAAGTTTAACTGTTTACAACAGTTCTGTTCAAAAACCGACAGCAAAACTTATAAATATAATCTCTGTAAGCATGTACATAAAACCCGTGTGCAACCTTGTGTGTTTCTCTGCACTGCTGTGTAAAATGTAGGTGGTGAGAGATGCATGTTTACTCTATCATGACTACGGTCTGGGAGTTTTTGTGGGAGATCTTTGACTCAGACTTCACATCCACAGTCAGACGCTTACAAAGTCGGCCTTCCATCACCTGAAGAACACCCGACCAGCAAGATTTAGAGAAACTTATCCATGAGTTTTCTTAACTAACATTGATTAGTGCAACTGTGTTTTCACAGAACGCTGCTGATGGCGTTGTGACTAAAACCAGGAAGACAGAGCGCCACTTCTAAAGACCTTAAACCCTGCAGCTCAGAGAGGAGACTTTAAATTACTGCTGTTAGTTTATAAATCACTGAATGATCTGCTGCTGTCATAGCAGAACCTCTCAGGTCTTCTGGTTCTGCTCTGCATCAGAACCAGAACCAAACATGCAGAAGCAGCATTCAGCTTCTATGCACCACAAATCTGGAACAAACTTTCAGAAAACTAAAACAGTAGAAAGTTTCTTTAAGCTAAAGTCTCGTCTCTGTAGAGTTGCCTTTGATTAGATGTTACACACCAAAATGAGTGGTTAAATCTTTCAATACAACTCAAACTTGTCTATTGAAAAACACAAAAGTAATTGAAAAAGTCTTTAATTCAGTGCCTGGGTGAAACAGTACAGTCGTTAAAAAAAGCATATTCACAGGAAAGGTATGAAACTGACCTCAACATGCTGGTTTTCCTGACAAATATTAAGAACATTGTTCCCTGGATGACCAACATGAATGATTGTGATTCAGTTAAATGCACCAGCTTCTGGAAAATATCAGCAGAAAAGCCTGTAGTGGTGGGGTGTGAGATAAGGCACAGTTTTAATCCTTTTTTATAATGTGTGAAAATAAAATGAGTATTTGTTTTCATTTTATAACTTCATTTAAAAATAAATATCTATTTTCTTTTTTTATTTTAAAATAATCCTTATAAATTTGCTGTAATCCACCGTTACCCCAAGTCCAGTGGTGGGCACTCTTCTTGCTAACCCGCTAACAGCCGAGCTAATTCTGTGGTTAGCAGTTTTGCTAACGATTGGTTTTAGCGCACAAGCTTCTAAATATTTTTTCTGGATAAATCCTTAAGCACCAATTTAGTTGGCTGTCTTGTAAACTTCCACTTGAATTAGGCTTATGAAAAAAAATCTATTAGAAAAATGATTTATCAAAGCGACAGTTGAACGGTGGTTGCAGCTCTGCGGCAGCTTTAGCATTAGCATTTGTTGTGAAAGCGTTCCTGTATAAATAAACTGAACTGATAGTGCTTCAGCGTTGGCGTGAGTCGTGTTTGAGTGGCGCTTCAGGATTAGCGTAGCTATGGTCTAGCGGTGCCCACCACGGCCCCCATCTATGCTGCAGAGGAGGAAACAAAAGTAAAAGCTCAACTCCTAAAAGAAATGCTAAAAATTGGATGAAGACAAAAAAACATTGATAACATCAAAATAAACACAAAAAACAAACATGTAATATACAGAATTTAAAAAAAAAAATTAATTTGAGAATGTTACTTTCTGCACTTAAAATAAAATATGTGCCACTGCTCTGGAGATAACGGACCAACAGTTTCCTGCTGGATCCTTTTCTTCAGCGTTCTGGATGCTGACCGTCCTGGCAGGCAGGAAAACCCTCGGGGGGCAGTTCGTCCTGATGCTTACAAGCTGCGTTGGCATAAAAATTAAAAGGAGGGGGATAAAAATTTACCAGCTGAGTTTACAAAAACGTATTTAGCGAGGGCCCTGAACGCAGAGGGTGGATTTATTATTTGGAGGGCGACGTGAAGGCGTTCTCGATGCAGAGGACGATGTAGGAGCCGGAGCAGCTGCTGGGCGTCTGCTGCAGCAGGCGGCCGCTCTGCAGGGACGACGCCAGGCCCGTCACGGCGCGCTCGCCCGCCCGCCACGTTTCACAGTAATGATCCATTTGCCGGTGGCCCTTTTTGCTCGATCCGTGCCAGACCATCTTCTCTGGCCTGGAGGGGGAACAGAAAACAAACAACAACTTTAAATCAGGCGTGGAAACAAACACGGCCGCGGATTAAAATCTGGAACGGTTTTCAAAGACTCGCCATGCACTGTCCCTGAGGATGTCTCTGCCGTCAAACGAGTACAACGGTACATTCTCCCTCATTTTGTTGCTGTCCTCACTGAAGATGGACTCCCAGCTGCTGAACAACACTTGGTTCTGAAAGGACAAGGAAGGAAAGACCCATAAACAGAAATCCATGAACAAAAATAATTAAATGTAGATTTAGCTGGACAGTTGTCTTACCTTCAGGTTCATGATGGGGAATCCGTTCCTGTCTGACCTGCGGACGATGGTGTAGAGGTCTTGGAGCTTGGAGGACAGGAAGGCTCTGAACGTTCCCTTCAGACCAACAGCGCGAGCCTGCTGGAAGCACAGGAAGTCCGCCCCGCGAATCCCTCGCATGTTTCCGGTCTGAGGCGCGTTCAGCGCTACAAGGTGGAGCTGCGAGAGAAGAGAGGCTGGCTTTAGCTTTTAATTTTAAAACATTTTCTCATATTGTAAATTTATGTCACTAGGTTTGACCAAAGCTGATTGTCCAGTTAAATTTTTTGGAGAGTTTATGTTTGTGATGGTAGGACATCCTATCTTCCTCCCAGGAACCTGGATCTTCACTGTATTGGTCACAGTTTTAGTTCAAATCAACTTTAACTGATTTTAACTAAAATCGGTCAACTTTGCAGATAAAATATTTAAACTGGTCTCATCGGGTTGCTATTCTAACGTTTCTGCGCATATTTTTGTGATTGTTTTAATTTTGCAATGTTAAGCTTAAAACAGTCTCAGTGCTGCCCTCTTTGGTTTCAACTGTGGCTACTGCAGTTGAATTTTCCTTCTGGTTCCAGTGACTCAGCGTTTGGTTATAAAATAGTTTCACTCAGACACACGCCTCCTTGTGGTCAATCAGGAGGTGATACATTTTGCTAATCATGTTTCAGATAAAAGTTTGCCAAAGGGTCACGCCCTTCAGTGTCACGTGGCCACGCCCTTCAGTGTCACGTGGCTCCGCCCACTTTGAAATTTTAATCATGGGGTTTTTAGTTTAGATCATTAGCCATTTTTGGATTAACATCAAAACAACTTGAGTTTAGTGATATGTTCTCTTATCTTTCCCATTTTAAGGAGTGGTCAAGAGAAAAATGGTGACTGTTTGGTCATATTATACGGCTGTAATGTGTTTTAGTTGTACTCACTGCTGGTTCTGACGAGTCAGCAGCTGGCACCACGGGGGGGCTGGGCTGCCGCAGCGCGGGTTCAACGGGTCGGATAACCACGCTGCTCTGGGAGTAATGACCCGCTCCGTTGGTGGAGGTCCGGTCTGGGGCGTGGGGGTACACGACCACCGGCGGGGGCTGCACTTCTGCCACCTCGTTGCCCTTTACATGAAAAACAAAGAGACTCGGAGATCAGAAAGGAGTCGGGAAACGTCAAACCGAGTTACGCTTCAAAACGCACCAGATCTCCAAAGAAGGTCCTGTAATCTCCGAGCTGAGGAGAAAAACCGCCGATTAATTCTTCACATTAAACTCTTTGAATATTATGATCACTCAGATTCATGAACGTGGAAGCTGAAGGAGTGCAGACGTACTAGGATTTGTCGAAGTCCATCGCGCACTCTCAGATAGAGGTCTGCTTTGTCCAGGATGTAAATGAGACTTCCCTCCGGCTGCTGCCTGGCCGTCGCAATCATGATGTCATATGACCTCAACACCGTCACCTGGGGAAATAATTATCATCTTAAATAACTGGAACAGTAGGTGCAGATATGAGGTCATTTAAAATACAGAGGCGTTTGTACCCCAGAGGAGACGCCAGGGCTTCCAGGGGGGCCTGGCGGGCCAGGAGGTCCAGGAACGCTGACGGCTTCAAGTCAAAACACAAACACAAGTTAGTGTAACTGTCATTCGATGCTTTCAGACCTGAGCCTGGTAGACGAGACCGGGGACCAAAGTTGACACATTGGTGACATTTTTAGCGACTGTGGTTTTCTGTGTCTGCGCTGAGTCAAACTAACTGGACCAAACTAACCGGACCAAACTAACTGGACCCTCTGAGCAACTGGTTCCCTTCCTCGCTTGGTGCTGCACCAACAACCACTGAAGGAAGCGACACAAAATCCTCTGAAAAAGACACGGACAGCTTCCTTCCTCACAAATGGGAAACAAAAATGTAACGTCAGATTTTCAGATTTGTGTGTCTTTTGTGTTTGGCTAAAGACCACAAGCCATTTCTCCTGCTAGCATGAGACTAATGTATTTGTTTTGGTTGCATTTACCCAGGATGCCCTGCTCTGTAGTCCACTTCCTGCTTTTGGAGCGGTCTCCAGTCCACTTGGTGTTCACATATACATTCAAACCGTGTCAAAGTTCACTTCATCCACACTGATATCACAGTTAGTGTCTTGCAAAATAGTTTCAATCTTTGTCTTGCTTTCATTGCAACACATTTAACAAGGGCTGCTGATTCATGTCGCTAAGTTTTTGACTATTTAATTTTTATTCAGTTCTTTTCTCTTGAAAACAAACATTGGCTCATTGGGTCATGTGATCACATGACCCAGTGATGGCGGTCTTGTATTTTCTACGGCTTTGCTAAAAACAGGCTCGGAAAAAACCGACTTACGATAATTAGGTCTGTATGGTCCAGAAAATGAGGGATTCCCAGGAGGTCCTGGAGGTCCAGGTGGTCCTGCTGGACCTGGGCGGCCATCGTAGCCAACACCTGGTGGTCCAGAAGGTCCTGGTGGCCCAGCAGGCCCGGCTATAGACTCTCCCTTTGGACCCTGGAAAAGGGGAAAACAGATCAGGGTTTATCTTCACATAGATTCTGCTGCTGAAACTAAAACCACTCAGCGGTAATTTGCTACGAGGGATTATTATGTTTCGCTGCTCATGTTCCTCTTCAGGTTTCACCTTTTCACTTTGATGGTCTTCATTAAACAGCCACAATTTATTGTCTGGTCAATCAGAATTTGCACTTTTTCCCTTTCATTCAATAATATAGTAAATGTTGGACAATTATTTTCCTACCTATTCTTTCATTATGTTTAGGTTTGAGTTGGGCATCGCTAACGAAAAAGGTAGCTATGCTAACCCTAGAATACTAAATATTATTTAGTATTTAAGGGTAAAGTTTATACCAACGGCATTGAAGAGAAGCTAATGCAAAAAATTCAAAGTACGTCTGTCCTTCAAAGACTACAACCAATTCATTTTGATTTTCTGTTGGTCTTGATTGTTTCTTCTTCCGTATAATGTTGGAGGAAACTGAAGTGCTGTTTTCACCCACTTCAAAATAAGAGCATGAATGAAATTACTGCTGATCGCTGTAACTGTGCGGCTCCCTCTGAACTCACTGGTAATCCTGGGTTTCCTGGAGGTCCTGGTGGGCCCACTGGTCCTCCAAAACGTGGGTCGTAGTATCCGCCACCCGGCTCTCCTTTCTCCCCCTTCACTCCCGGATCTCCCTGGTCTCCTTTCAGCTCATTCTGTCACAGAACATTATGACGTTTTGTCAGTTTACCGCCGTCCCAAAAGCAGAGAAAACTAAACTGAGGTGAAGAGATGAGGCGGGTTACCTTAAACGCGTAGATATCGAAGTTCGACGCAGTTCCTTTGAGGAAGAGGAGGAGATGCTTTAGTGACGAAGGTTCTCCGAAGGAGGAAAACAGAGATGAATGTTTCAGGATTACCTGGGATCCCAGGAGATCCGCGGTCGCCACGCTCTCCTTTTTCTCCCTTTACCACTGCAGCAAAAAACAGCATTTTACAGCAAACATGGCGCCGTAAAAACAATGTTTAATGTCTGATCGCCCACTTTCATCACAGCATTACTGTATAGGCTGGACAGCAGAAAATAAGATTTAAAACCCTTGAAACATGCTTATAATCTATCGACATGGTTTCATGGCGCCCGTACCTTGGTAAGCCCTGGAGTTTTCATCAAAGCGCTAAAGAAAGAACAGAGGAAGAGAATCAGTTGGTAGATGAGATGCATTAACTCTTCGTGGCTCGCTTGGACTCACATTAAAGCGATCCAGAGCTGGACCTGGTGGTCCGGGGGGTCCTGGGGGTCCTGGCGGGCCAGCAACTCCCTGCAGGAAACACACGACTTTATGATTCAGAATGAGACGCTGTTTTGGTGACAGTCTCTGTTGCACCAACAAAAACACAAAGATATGACTAAACTTTTCCATGTCTTGTTCTTTAAACTTGTCGAGTGAAGCTCAATTTGTTCCCAGTGGTTGGCTTATTATTGGCAGGTTATTTTTCTCAGGCCATGTTCAGATGGTCAAACAATCTTTTATCAAAGCAGAATTTCATTTTGTGGCAGGTAAACCAAGCCGAAGCCATTTTGGAAAAAGCAAAAGCCAGACAGACTCATGCAGATGTGAAAGGGAAGCTACGCTCCCTTCAGCAGGTTAGGATCCGTCTGTGGGCGATTCGTTACAATCTCCACAAAATCTAAGAAAGATTTTCTATAGATTTTAGTTCTGCCTGTTCAGAGCAACACCCTGAGGTTGCCAGGCGACGGGCAGAGCTTTGCTGGGGTTGCCAGGCGACGGGTCGGGGTTGCTAGGTGACGGGTCGGGGTTGCCAGGCGACGGGTCGGGGTTGCTAGGCGACATTGCATTCCGGAGGTTTTTTTCAGACAGATAAAAACATGAAGTCATTACCAAAGAGCTGCTGGGGTTGTTTTGGTTTGGTTTGGGTTTTAAGTGCTTGTGAGTGATGGTTTTTAGAAACATTATTTATTATTTATGCAGTACAGGAAAACGAATCCAGCTTACCGGGTAGCCATAACCTGCACCGCCTCCTGGCTCTCCTTTCTCACCCTTGTATCCATTCACTCCTGGTCGACCCTGGTGGGTGAAAATCACTAATCATTCTCATGCACTTTATAAAGCCTCAGAAACTCTGAAACAAATGCACTCACTGGTCTTCCTGGCATTCCTATTTCACCTTTCAGTCCAGGAGGCCCCTGAGGGCCCTGCAACAAAATGATATCATAAAACATTGAATAAATCAGTGCAGACACTTCAAAATCTCAATGATGCAAACTTACAGAAGGTCCAATAGGTCCTTGCAGTCCTCTGTCTCCCTACAGAACAAAGTGGAGATGATTAGCATCGCAAACGGGAACAAGAAGGAGCTAATGGGAACAAACAGACGGATGATGAGACTCACCTTGCTGCCTGTCAGGCCTCCCAGATACAAAGGATTTCCATCTGGTCCAATTATCAAGCCTGGTTCCCCTTTTTCACCCTGAACACAGAAAACTGACGATGAAAACGATGGAAACCATGAGCAGCTTGATTAGCAGCTGATATAATAACAGGAGTTCACCTTCAGGGCATAACCGGGTGAACCAGGGTCACCTCTGTCCCCCTTTGGTCCAACAGGACCCTGGCAGGCGCATAAAAATATTCAAGTGAGAGATTTAGAAATAAACAACCTCCATCAATTAGCCATGCAGGTCAGCCTGCAAGCTGTCGGGCAAATCTTTGTGTTGAGCCTAAAAATATTGTTTTACAGTTAATGCTCTGCAGCTAATGTCCAAGCATTAAAAATAGTATTTTTCCCAACTCCTACCAGTGAAAAGTAATTTTAAATGGAGTTTAAATAGTTAAGAACAAAGGAATCAAATAAGACATTGAATGCTTACAGGAAATCCAGCTCTGCCAGGTAAACCAGCGACTCCCTGGAAGAACAAGAAACCAGTTAAAGTTTCTCCTTAAACATTCAGTGAAAATACAGAGACGTCATCCTGGCATGATGGGAAACTGTCAGCTGAAGTTAAACATTTGAAAGCTGAAGTCTGTAGTGGTTTTATGTGAACTCACGTTATCAGATGGCTGGTAGATGATTTGCCCCGGTGGTCCAGGTGGACCAGGTGGGCCTGGGAGTCCGGTTCCATCTCGACCCGGATCGCCCTGTGAAAACAGATTAACCCACCAACTAATGAAGGACTAATCCATCTGTCATCACATACAGAACTAAGCCACATAAAGCCACATAAAGCCGTTCTGTTAATGGTAAAAATGTCATATCACCAGAAATTTCGCTAAGATCAAATATGAAATTTACCGTCTCTCCTTTGTCACCTCTGTCACCCTTTTGTCCCTGTGAAGATGAAGACAAACAAAATTTTACAGCTTTATAAATCAGAAAAAGCATCATGGCCTGATAATCGGGTTTGATATTTGATGCTGACATTATTTGGACCTAATTCCTCTCACATGTCTAAGGACATGAGAGACGTTTTCATTTGTTCCTGTACATTTATGTATAAAATAAAATTGTTGGGGGAAAAGAGAGAAACATGACTGCTGTCTTCACCCACTTCAAAACAAGAGCATGAATATTGACCACTGATAGCCAAAATTTTAAAACAGACGTTGATCTTTATTTAACTGAAAGTTTACAAAATATCCAAGAATTTATCTGGGAAAATTAATTTCAGGGAAGCTAAGTGGGCTAAATGTTTTCAAAGTTAGCCAAAATGCTAATGCGCTAAACAGAAATTTAGCTCTGCTATTGGCTGATGAAGAATTATTTGCAGTCTATATTTGTCTGTTAGCTGAAGCTCTTTGACCTTAGAGGTGCCTCAAGGTCACTTTCTCAGATTAAACTGATTTACACCACACAAATAGAGCTAATTATTGAGCTCTGCAACGGATGCCATGATCCATGTATGCAAATCTCCATCATCCTGTGCGGTTTCACATAAAGTTGAGGTTTTCTCACCGGCGGTCCCGGGAAGCCATCCAGGCCTGGCAGTCCGTCTCTTCCTGCCAGACCCTGCTCACCCTTTGGACCCTCAATACCCGGGAAACCGGGCTTACCCTGCAATGGCAGATTCAAGTTAAACAACATGGGGAAGCAAAGCAGAAAAAACCTCTGAAACCTTTGGACCTTTTAATTGAAGTGCCAAATTTTGATAGGATGAGATACTTTGAAAGTTTTTCTGGTTGTTACCAACTTCAGAACATTAACTAGACTTGTTACAGAATGACAAAGGTTGAGTTTTATTAAGATGTAAACAAATGAGAACAAAATCCTATAAATGCAAAAAAAATAATTAAGCTGCTCTTACTTTAGACCAACACTGTAAAAGTACTAAAATGTGTTAAATTAACAGAAAAAAATGTGAATTTGTCTGCTTTGGTCTGAGCTGTCTGGCAAAAATATTTCACATTTTCCAGACTTTCCAACATTTTTTCAAAATTTCTTTGCCAATTTTAAATACTTGAAGATTGTCGTTCAACATTTTCATCTTTAATCTGAAGGCTGACTAACTGGGGCAGAAGTCCAGGCAGCAGCCTGTTGTTTTATTGCAGCGTGTTACTTACTGGGTGTCCAGGTAAACCAGGAGGTCCCTGAAAATACAACATGTGCTACGGTTATTTGATACACAGCCACAGTAAATAATGCCACAGCTTTTCATTCAATTAAATTAAGCTTATTTTAACTATTTTTAATAAGCATCTCTGCCTTAACAGATCAGAGATGCACTTACGGCTGATTTAAACGTAATTCTTGTGCTGAAATTCAATCCATATTTTATTACAGTAATTAAGGTACCTGTATCCCTTCTGGTCCTCTGACACCAGGAAGTCCATTAGTGAAAATCCCACTGGAGTCCTCCATGTCATCCTGAAGAACAAGAGACACAATTTTAGGGCAAAGTAACATATTAATTATGAAGTGTGTTAATCTGCAGGTATTGCTGCTCGTTAGCCCAAGTATTATGTCATTGCATCAGGAATCAGGTGTTTCCAATGACCAGTATTGGTTCCTTTTCCTGATCAGTGTTAAAGCAAAAGCTGTGCAGCTTCATTGAGAAAAATATGCTATACTTTTGGTTTTCGCCAGACTTTTGTTGCAATATTGAGAAGTTTCATCCCAGCTTCCTGTTTAATGGCTCACAGAAAATTGGACTGTCTGAACTGGCATAACTCGTAACTTCAGTGGTTTATGGTGTATGCACAATTTTCTGCACCTCACCATTCAAGATTTTTCATAGTGTAGCCTAGCATATTACAGAAAAGGCAGGAATTACCATAGCGATCAGTGACTGCATCTTGTTTCTCATACCACAACCCCTCCCCATAAGTTTGTTTCGTACAATGGCTGTTTCCATATTGCCAGTGGTGGGCACAGCTAGCAAGACAGCTAGCTCTACTAATGGTAAATCCCTACACCAACATGGTATTTTGCAGAAGCTAATGCTAAGCGCTAACTTCAATTCAAACTATTTCAGCCCTTGGATAGACTACAACCCTTGAGCAGCAATTTCATTTTGACCTTTTGGTTTCCATGTTCTATGTTCTCCTTAGACATTGTGTTTATATTTTTTCTCTGTTTTTTTTATTTTGCTCCTGAATGTTTATATTTGAAATAAAGTTAGGAAGAACATCAACAGAAGTATGTTTAGCAGTTTAGAATTGATCAAAAAAATACATTTAGGAGAAGCTAAGTGTACCAAACATTTTCAAGGTTAGCTAAAGCGCTAGAAAATAGACACACTGCTAGCACATCAGCAAATTAGTGGAAGTCTGTCCACCCCTGCATGCTACTTTGTTTCAGCATGTCTGCTTGTTAATATCATTGCATGTTAATTGAACTCACAAATCCAACCCGATGACCTGGTCCTGGAGGCCCAGGAGGTCCAGGAGGACCGACTGGTCCCATGGGTCCTGGCAGACCAGCCAGTCCAGGCTCTCCTGGAGTTCCCGGTAAACCAGGTTCTCCTAGAGATCCCTGTGGAGTAGAAACATGGCTCTTAAAAATTCACTTTTCTAGTTAATTTCACAATTAACTTTTCACCTTTAAGTTAAAATGAGAAATAGTGATGTCACACCTTTTGTCCAATTGCTCCTGGGAGTCCAAGATCGCCTGAATCCCCCTGAGAACGTAACAAAGGAAAAAGACACATTTTTAATCACAGCAAAATTAAAACTTCAATCTTTTATTCACCTCATTAAGTTTTTTGAGGTTTTTCAAATGAGACAATTTTTACATTTGTGTTGTATTGTTAGGATGTTGGAGTAGGGGATTCGATCATTATCTGTTATAATCAGTGGAAGAGACTGTTTGACAGATTCCAAGTGCTTTAATTCAAACTTTCAACTAAAAATCTATTTGCTACATTTACAGGCGTAATCAATGTTTGCTACATATAATTAGATGGTATTAGCATTTAAATGATAAATCGTATGTTCCAGTAAATCAGTACCTTTTCTCCCCTGGGGCCAGGAGCTCCTGGAAGACCATCGGCACCAGGTAAACCAGGCAGACCCTAAAGTCCAAAAGATTTGGTTGTTGGAACTGGATTTTGGTTAAAGCGTTCTATCATCAGCATAAGTAGGCAGTTTGTTAGTATGAAAACAAGAGAATGCAGACGAGTGAAATCCTGTTTTCAGTCCTGCATCCACTCATTTGGATGCTCCTGATTTCCTGCAGTAGTTTCTGATTGGAGTGGACTGTTCCACTTACAGGTTGGCCAGGTGCTCCATCTTTTCCTGGAGGTCCAAAAGCGGCAGTGTTCACGGACGTGCTTGCTGAGGGAAGACCGGGAGGGCCTGGGGGACCAGGAGGACCTGGGGGACCTGGAAGTCCCTGCATCAACAATTATAAAGATTCAAAATATTTCCTCCTCCAATAGATCCAATGGATTTTGTGGTGTGACTAAGAAGGACCAGAGAAAGCCGGTTCTGTTTGTTCTCACCCGAACGGAGACCAAATCAGGGAATCCAGAGGCCTCCATGTCCTCGAATGTCTGAAAGATGTGTTTTAGAATCATCTGCAGAAAGCAGAAGGAAGTTTTTACCTCATAGGAGGATGTGACTCACAGATCTGTATCCTGTACCCGGTGGTCCTGGAGGCCCCGGGGGTCCTCTGGGGCCGGGCTGGCCCTCTCCACGGTCGCCCTGTATGAACCCACCTCATTAGGACTTAAACTGAAACCCTTTTAACAATCTGCAAGCTGGGTTTATCTAACCTTCTGTCCTTTAACTCCTGCGTCACCCGGAGTTCCTGGAAACCCTGGAGGTCCCTGAGGCCCCTATTTAAAAGACAAATATGATGTTCGGCCCCTGAAACATTCTATTTTGAAAGAAAAAGCAGAAACTACATACAGTTTTTCCATCTTCACCGGGATCACCCTACGGGAACAAAACAGAGAACACCTGAGTGACTTTCAGCATCTCCAGAGAAGTCTCAGGTTGTTCCTCCAGATCCACTCACTGGTTCTCCATCTTCCCCTGCTGGCCCCTGAGGACCTGCCGGTCCAGGCGGTCCACGCGGCCCAGGAACCTTCAAAACAACCGACCCATCTCGGTCAACTGAATACTCGCTTGCAGATCCTGGAGATCCAGGGGGCCCTGGTGGTCCGGGAGGGCCTGGTTCACCCTTTGAGCCCGGATACCCAAAACCTGCACTGCCCTGGAACAAAGGAAAGGTCCACATCTTGGCTCTCATAATACGTTTTGATACAGAAATCAGTAGATTAAACTAATATTTAAAACACGGCACACCAAATTTAATATAAGAGCAGCTAATGACGATAATATGCTTGTTTTTAATCGATAAGCAAAACATTTGAGTCTCCAGTTAAGATACAGCAAAGCTAGTGGTCAGATAAGTGAGCTGATGGCTAGAAAATGTGAATTTGTAGTTTATCGTTGGAAAATACTTGTCATTTTCAGGTCGCAAACTAAACATTTGCAAATAAATATTTAGTCAGGAGTTAAATATTTCGTTACCAAGCTAAGTACTTACTTTGGAGCCAAATTTGGCAAACTGGATATTTGGTTTGGAACAAAACCAAATTGTTTTATGTTATGAAATTATTGCTGTTAATGTTACAAGCGGTACCTGCACTGGTGACACATCATCAAGAGTCCAAACATATCTGGGGACTTACTGAATATTTAGTTTGAAAAACAAATTGAAATAAAAAATTTCACAAAAACATCCATCTTTGTCATAGTCAGTGCCACAGTGGGTATTAGGGTTTTTTTTATAACAATAAAAAAACAGCAATAAATACTTAATCTAAACGGGTAGATTTAGCATAATTTTTCATGTTCTTTCCCGGTCTAACACAAAAACGACAAAAGAAAAGACGGTCTGGATATGTTGGTCAGAATTCTCAGTCTTTTGGCCTGCACCAAACCATGTTGTAGGTTTATTGTTACATAAAAGAGTAAATATTATAAACTAAATTTATAACATCTTCATCTCAGAAAACTCAGAACTGTTTGTCTCCCTTCATATCAGATCAAAAACATGAACGTGTCTGTTCATCCGCTATGACAAAAGTCAACGACAAACTTTTTAATCTGCTTCGTTGCTTCATATTCAACATTTTCAAACTAATCAATAACCTGAAGGCAGCTGTAACTTACCTTGGCTCCTTTTTCACCTGGTTCTCCCTGAAAATAAAACAACAAAGCAGTGGTGTAAATTTTAATCCATTTTAAGAGAACAGTAGAAATCGCTCTAAAGGGGAAAATAAAAGTACTTTTGTAAAACGTCCTGTTTTTGTTGAGCAAATGGCAGGTAAATCCACCCAAACTTCCAGAAGTTTTCCCTTTTTTTCCTCACAATATGTTAGCAAAATTAGAAAAAGCTGCTGGTGGTTTTGACTCTCGGGCTTCTAGCGCCCTCTAGTGTTAACTTGGTGCAATTCAACAACAAACCTGATTATGTAAAGGCTAAAATCAAATTAAATATTTTGTAAAAAAGAAATAACTTTACATGTTATATTGTTGCTTAATGCTTCTACCATACATAAATTATTGTTTGGAAATACAAAACCTCCAGAAGAAAACTATCCAAATTATGTCTGATTATTTCTATCCAACTAATTAAATATTGTGTTCTTTAAAATGTTATGATTTAATTGATCTCAGAACAGCATTAACTCTGTGCAAAGCTTAAAATAAATTCCTTTCAAGGTGTACACAGAAGTGTTTTTAAATTAATTTATGAATTAAGAAAGAAAATGATTTATTAAAAAAAAAAACGGTCAAAATGAATATTGAAAATAATTGTACTTGAGTTAGATGGATTCAGGTGTGGAGTATTTGTTGAAAATCAGTTAAAACCGATTTTCACAAAAAATATAAGAATAATTTGCTAACAAAAATACAATAATGTTTGATTTAATGCTCATCTAAGCTACTTTATTTCTTAGAAAAATATAGAGGAAACAGGGTTTCCCTCAGTGTACTGTCAGCCTGGCGGGCCACCAGGCTTAGCATATTAATAATTACTTCATTGTAGTTTTTTAACAGTGATGGCAAAGCTGGATTAGAGAGTCTCTGATATAACGGTTGGAAGCAGAATGGTCAGCATGTGAACGCATAAGGAGGCAGAGGTCAGCTCCATGACCACTTCCTGTTTCTACAGGAAGTGGTTTTACAACTTCAGCAAACAAAATCACAAGTCACAAATATAAAACATTTTGTAATTAGGAAGAACCTAATGGATATTTTTTTGTGTTTGCTTTTTGTAAGACTTTATAGTTATTGGTTAGGTGTTTTTCATCATGTCTTCCAATAAAACTTAATTACCAAGTGGTGTTTTCACATTTCCTTTTAAACATGTTTTAACTGCTGGATGACTGGCCGCGTCGCCCCACCAGGCTCAGCATTTTACTTTGGGGAAAAACCCAGAGGAAAGATTCTGATGACGCTTCATTTATAACAAAGTGTATCAGTTTTTCCGGTCTACACTTGGTGTTCCTGCCATTGAGAGGAATTTCAATTATTTCTGTGCTAGTTTTGTTTGTTGGCTTGTGTATGGAAAGGTTAAAACTTGGCGTCACTGCAGCTCCGTATTTTTCCCTTTGCCAGGGATCCTGGGATGAAAAAGCTCCGTTTTGTCTGGCTGACCTTTATTCCGCGGATTCCCCCTTGGGAGCCGGAGCCTGGCTCTCCCTTCGGCCCCGTCGGGCCCCGGTCTCCTTTCTCTCCTCTGTCGCCTTTCTCTCCTTTAGCAGCGGCTGCACCTGGAAAGCATAACCACAGGACACATCCATTAACATCCCGATGAAAACCTCTGGTAGATGATCAACGACTGCATCCCCGAGAAAAACAAACGATCCCTGATCCCAGAAGGAGGAAGGAAAGGAAGCAGGATTCCTGCTGTAACTCTGTAGTTTAGAGGTCAGGTGGAGTGGAGGCACATCTCCCACCTGCTTGTGAATTGACCCAATTTGACCCGACATGCTTGATATCCCGATAAATGAGTCACTTTAGAAGGCAAGGTGTGAAATGCAGCCTGCTGCTCCAAGGAATGAATTCTGGAAACATGACTGAGGCTAAATGTCGGGTTATCGGTTAGCGACGTCACTGCAGCGTGAAATAAACTGATGCCACCTCCTGGCTTTAATGATCTACTTTAAAACATCAGTTCAACCAAAATGGTTTGCAGAGTCTTCCTCCTTCTGACCCTTTTTTTCTTTAAATCAACATTTAAAACTCGGCCAGTGCATATATTTTAAGCAGCGGACAGAATATTCAGTTTTTAGTTGTGCTTCACAAACATTATTAATGAATGTTGTCAAGTTATAAACTTATTTCACACTAGTTAAAGTTTTATAGTCAGCACATTAGTGGAAGTGGGCCCACCACTAAATTCGCAGAGCTAATTTTATAGCTTAGTGGTTTTGCTAACTTAACCTGTGGTCAAATTAGCAAAAGTACTGTTGGTTTTGCTGTCTGTTTCCTCTTCACAATGCCCCATGGCAATGGTGGGCACAGCTCTGCTAAAGTGCTAATACTGGAGCTAACTTTTCACTTAGCGCTTTTGCTAACTTTGACAAAGCTTAGATCACTTAGCTTTCCCTAAAGAGCTAACGTCTTTTAGTTATTGACCGTTAAGAATTCAAGCTGTTAGGCTTCATTCAAAATAAGAGCATATTCATACACTTATTTTGAAGGGAATGAAAACTGTTTACTATTTCCTTTAAGTCAAGGAAAATGAACATTTTTTTGTGTTTGCCTTTTGTAAGACTTTATAGTTACTGGTTAGGTGTTGTTCATCATGTCTTCCAATAAAACTTAATTAAGTTAATTAAGAGACGACCCAAAGAGAGACTAATGGATGTGGAGAAAGAGGAGAGGAAGTCGGTGAGCGTGGAGGACGAAGAGGACAGGACTAAGTGGAGACAAATGATTCACTGTAGCAAAAGGATTTGGGCCTTTTTTCTTTCTCTAAGAATGTCTTTATTTATGGCAGTACTCGTATTGTCCAGTAGATGGAGACATTTATCAGTGAACGTTAAAGTCACAAAATGTTTCCCTCTGTCCCGCCATGTGATTTTATACGACAGTTTAATAATATGAAGTATTAGGAGAAATAAGAGTTTTGTTCTGCAATTATGAGTATAAATTACTAATATTATGATGATTAAGTAATTTTAGCAGAGTAAGGGCACAGCATCACTAAAATAAATCAATACCAAGCTATAACTTCACATAATGCTCAGCATTCTTATTTTTTATATAATTTTATGCGTTATAAAATTGCTTGGTTCTACTAATATTATGTTTCTATCCTGGTAACATTACATTTTTCTCATGTCTTCTTTATTCTAATATTTTGACTTTATTTCAGCATCAGCACAACTCTCGTCTTGTTTTATGTCTTTATTGTCTATTTTTAATGTTATGGCTTTATTCTCATAACTCTTTGTATTAGTGTAACTTTTTTTCTCATTATTTTGCTAAAAATCCATCTTTATTCTTGTGATCTTTTGTCATGATTTATTTTTCGTATTAATAAATTTTAATTATGGTAATATTTTGAGTTTTTAGTATTAGTTCAACTTCTTAAGTTACTAAGACTTTATTTGGTTAATATTATAACTTTATTCTCCTTATCTTACGCATCTGAGTCTTAATATTTTTGAAATTTTGACATTTTTTCTCTCATTTTGTTTTTTTGCCTAACCTGAGTTTTCTTTTGTGTTTGTCTAAAAGTTACAATCCTGTATTCTTTAACAATAACTGAACTGCTCTGATTTTATATGAAATGTAACTGATCCAGAGTGAAACAACATAAAATGAGGAAATGATGTGAAATGTTACCGGGTTGTGGCCCGGGCCTCTCCAGCGGCGGCTGTTGGATTGGAGGAAGAGATTCATCGGCTCTCTGCAGAAACACAGCAGATCCCAATTTAAATTTAAAACCTGCAGTGATTTTGCTCCATTTTCTCCATCTGTACCTCCCACTGAGAAAAGCTTTTATAAACATCGCTGCATCATGGGAAAGAGTTTGTCCCTGTAAACATTAATCACAGGCCCAAATGAGTCATGTTCTGCAAACTGCTTTAATGTTGGGAGACTGGAAGTGAGTTCTGCTTGTACAAACTATCCCAAGCTTCTCACAACACAATGCGCCGCCTGTTTTCATTTGCAGCTAATTTACTCTGCATATTTTGCACAACTTCACATTTACCTAGCTGAGGCGGTGAAATCATCAGATACTAGAATAAAACCTCAACTATGGAGAAAGTTAACATCTTTATTAGATTTTTATTCTTTTATTTTATTCAATTAAGCTGATAAACAAATTCTTTGTTGAAAACATGCAAAATGTGGGGGGAAAAATATGATTTGAATATTTACTGAAGCATTCGCTGATTCGTTTTTAGCATTAATTTTTTTATTTGGAGTCTTTTTTCTGAAGCCACTGGGAAAGTGGCAGCGACTCCGACTCTCTCTGGTTACGACTTGTAAGGTCAACTTGGCGTTTCAATATGGCCGCTACTCACATTAATAATAATAAGCTGTGGCAGAAGAAAGACAGAGTGGCTCTAAAATCAGTGTTTCATGTCGAACCTACAACTCCAAAATAAACAATTTGAAAGTGGTGTTTGCTTAGAGAAAGGGAAACGTTAAGATGGTATTAATAGTACAATGTGTTGGCTCTAGACAATTGCATTAGCTGTAGCTAACGGTGTTAGAAATAACTAATGGTGTAGCTCAAGCTCATGATGTTAGCTCATGCTGTTAGCTCTAGCTCATGATGTTAACTCTAGCTCATGGTGTTAGCTCTAGCTCATGGTGTTAGCTCTAGCTCATGATGTTAGCTCTAGCTCATGATGTTAGCTCTAGCTCATGGTGTTAGCTCTGATGAGTTGTGTTAGCTCTGATGAGTTGTGTTAGCTCTAGCTCATGGTGTTAGCTCTAGCTCATGATGTTAGCTCTAGCTCATGATGTTAGCTCTAGCTCATGGTGTTAGCTCTGATGAGTTGTGTTAGCTCTAGCTAATGGTGTTAGCTCTAGCTAATGGTGTTAGCTCTAGCTCATGGTGTTAGCTCTGATGAGTTGTGTTAGCTCTAGCTCATGATGTTAGCTCTAGCTCATGGTGTTAGCTCTGATGAGTTGTGTTAGCTCTAGCTCATGGTGTTAGCTCTAGCTCATGGTGTTAGCTCTAGCTCATGGTGTTAGCTCTAGCTCATGGTGTTAGCTCTGATGAGTTGTGTTAGCTCTAGCTCATGGTGTTAGCTCTAGCTAATGGTGTTAGCTCTAGCTCATGGTGTTAGCTCTAGCTCATGGTGTTAGCTCTGATGAGTTGTGTTAGCTCTAGCTCATGGTGTTAGCTCTAGCTAATGGTGTTAGGTCTAGCTCATGGTGTTAGCTCTGATGAGTTGTGTTAGCTCTAGCTCATGATGTTAGCTCTAGCTCATGGTGTTAGCTCTAGCTCATGATGTTAGCTCTAGCTCATGGTGTTAGCTCTGATGAGTTGTGTTAGCTCTGATGAGTTGTGTTAGCTCTAGCTCATGGTGTTAGCTCTAGCTAATGGTGTTAGCTCTAGCTCATGGTGTTAGCTCTAGCTCATGGTGTTAGCTCTAGCTCATGGTGTTAGCTCTAGCTCATGGTGTTAGCTCTAGCTCATGGTGTTAGCTCTAGCTCATGGTGTTAGCTCTGATGAGTTGTGTTAGCTCTAGCTCATGATGTTAGCTCTAGCTCATGGTGTTAGCTCTGATGAGTTGTGTTAGCTCTAGCTCATGGTGTTAGCTCTAGCTCATGGTGTTAGCTCTGATGAGTTGTGTTAGCTCTAGCTCATGGTGTTGGCTCTAGCTCATGGTGTTAGCTCTGATGAGTTGTGTTAGCTCTAGCTTATATTGTAAACAGTAGATCACAAGCCAACCATGTTTGTTTCAACAGATTATCTTGTGTTTTATGGTGTATGAAAATGTAAAGGCAATTTTCCTCAATCCAGATGTTTTCATTTCCTTGACTTGACTTGCTCTGTGTGAGTGGAATGATTAAAAGTGCAACATGCATTTGGAAATTCATCAAATTAAAGTCTGCAATATGTTTCCTGACTTGTTTGCTACAATGTTTTGTAATTTTTCAGAGAAATCATCTGGAACATACAAAAGGCAGCGGCGTTATGAATGTTGTAATGCTTGAAACAGTTTCGGTGTGATTTGTTTTCCCTTTGATTCTGCTCACACCGCAGATCATATCCGTCATACGCGTGGATTGTTTGAGTCGCTTGGCTCCTGTTTACTCTGAAATCACTCTGCGGTCGCTCCAGTCAGCCGGCCTATAAACGCATCAGGCCTGAGAGAGGAAATGAGAACAACAGAAGCAGATTTCTTCTCTTTGTTTCTGAAAACCTCAGATTGTTCCCTGTGGGATAAAGACGGGAGCGTGTAGAAACGTTCAGGAGGAGGAGGAAATGAGGACCACCCGAAGGTTTGATGTGATGATAATTAACTGTATTCCTCAGCAGGGAAATATTCTCTGCTCTCTGTTGCATTGATTGACCTCGCTATTTTAACTGGATTTATAAGTTATTGTGACAAAGAATGGCCTGATCGCTTACACCATCCATCATGGCTGCTAACGACAGGTTGCTTAGCTTTGATGCCTCCTCAGTCGCTAACACGGGGTTAGCTCAGTGTCTGGCCTCTGGAGAACGTTTACAGTTTCTACCGTCAACATCTCAGTACACTTGAAATAAGACAAACTAACTTACAAGTAAGTCTTCAGATTGTTTTAATTCAATAATTCAAAATGAGTAGCTCCATTACTACTTACAACTGATCATTTTTTCATCAAAATGTATTAATTATTGACTTAAAATAAGCTCCTATTTCTTGTTAAAGAATCTTGTAAGTTAATTTTTACACTAGAAACTAGACCAGAAGTACGTGGTAACATTTGTTATTTTGTACAATGAAGGCCTGTTAAAATATTGGTCCAAACATTTAGAAAATGTGGCACCAGAGGTTTGCATTGTTTTGGTTCTTGTGAAACTCAAACATTAAACCAGTCAGAGAACGGATCTCTTTTGGGTGAGGACAGATTTCAGTCGTCTCCTGTAACAGACAAGAGGAGGTATTTCCGTCAGTTTGACCAAACAAGTGAACTTTGATCCGCCTACAAATCTGTTTACAGGACAGAACTCTGCTGGGGTTGCTAGGTAACCAGACAGAACTCTGCTGGGGTTGCTAGGTAACCAGACAGAACTCCGCTGGGGTTGCTAGGTAACCAGACAGAACTCCGCTGGGGTTGCTAGGTAACCAGACAGAACTCTGCTGGGGTTGCTAGGTAACCAGACAGAACTCTGCTGGGGTTGCTAGGTAACCAGACAGAACTCTGCTGGGGTTGCTAGGTAACCAGACAGAACTCTGCTGGGGTTGCTAGGTAACCAGACAGAACTCCGCTGGGGTTGCTAGGTAACCAGACAGAACTCCGCTGGGGTTGCTAGGTAACCAGACAGAACTCTGCTGGGGTTGCTAGGTAACCAGACAGAACTCCTCTGGGGTTGCTAGGTAACAGTGGAATGTGATTAAATAATCAAACTCAATTTTCCGGACGTCACAAAACATTAACTTTTTATAAAAAAACGCTGAATGTTTTTAAAGCAACTGTTTTTAGAAGCAGTTGAGATTCAAATGGAAGTGCAAAAATGTGCAAAATGTGAAATGTGCATAATATGTCCCCTTTAACAGTGGATTTCATTCCCATCTCTTTACAAGATGTTTTGTAAAAGCAGCAGCAATTGTTAAACCTGAAACCTGATGCCTAACGCGGGGAGCCCGATCTGGCAGTGACCCGTTAAAGACGCGCTCTGCCATCCATCCATCACGGTGGATTCCAGGAAGACAGAATGGAAAGTCTCACCTCTGCTCTCCGCCTCTCGCCGCCCGAACTTGCCTCTTAATTGCAAGGGTTGGACGAGAGAGCAGAGGATGAGACGAGATGTGTGAACAGATCCTCGTCAGATGGAAAAACATCGGCAGGTGGACATTAAGACGCCAGCTGTTTCCCCAAACATGACATTTTCATATAACATGCTGATTAATAAATGTCTGGCGGAACGAAAGAGAAAAAGAATCCTCGTAAAAGTTGAAGACGAGGCTTCTGAAATGAACTACCTGACCTCAACCTCAAACTCCACTTTGTTGGTTCCTGAAGGCATGTTGATGGAGAAACCAGTGGAAATACCAACGCCTGGAGGCGGCGGGAAGCCTCCGACTTGGATCGGATCGGATCCAAATTCACATCTGGTTTTTCAGACTCCTCTGTAATTGTAAAAGCGCTGCGCTCACTTGAACTGGCTGGAAGCTGCAGCACATCTTAGCCTTGGTGTCAAAACGCAATGAATAGAAAGCAGAAGGAGGAAAACTGAGGAGGTAAAGAGAAGAAGAAGTGGATAAACTCCCTGAAAGTGAAGTGACAGCGTGAGGAGTCCTGGGCACGGCCATTTCTATCCGTTATCAAACTGCAATGAAGAGAGTCCTAATCATTTACATGTCCACAATCAATTACAATTTGCAAAGCCAGATAGTTAAAATTACAAATCTAAATTAAATTATAATGCAAAGAAAAGAGCAATACTATAAACATCAATAAAAAAATCAAAATTTTAAGTGTTTATAAAAACTCTTGCGAGGATCCGAATAAATAGATCTGGAGTCATATTTATCCAGAATAAGCGCAGTGTGATGTCACGCCCCACATCTCCCTGCTGGAGGGATAAAAGCTGCTCACCGATGATGACTGCCTTTGTCAACTTGTCAACATAACACTAAATCTTAAATGTATGTGACATGTGAAAGAAAGTGCTTTGCTATTAATTGTCAATACTACAACTGGATAACAAGGTCAGAAAAAAGTTTTAAACAAAAAAAAATCAGCAAGTGAGAGGGAAGTAAGTCAGCTCTCCGTCAGCTGGCTTGACTTTGACGACCTTAACATGTAGATGCGCTATGGAATTCAATCTGTCTAGGTTAGCTTAAAACAATTAAAAACTAAGGCGGCCCACATACAAAACTCTGACAGATCATCAGTAGAGCAGGTTTTTAAGTGAGCTAATCAACCATCGCAGCGCTAGATTGACTAATAGCAGCGATAGCTAATCTTCCACAGCTTATTAGTAATCATATTACAAAATGTCAAACCTGAAAATATAAACATGTAATGAACCAAATGTTCTGTTCTTTGTGTGGGAAATGTTTGCATGGACTTTTTGGTATTGAATCCTGATACGCTATGGAAACTGGCCTATCTGTAGCATAGCCGACACAGAGAACAATAAAGGATAACACAAGTCGTTATGAGTTGTTCTTCAATGTTTTTTCTGCGTTCGTCAAAATGACAGACATCAAGAAAGTCCAGCAGAGTTAATTTTTATGTTTCTTGTCTTTAATTTTTACTCATGTAAAATATGTAATAAATATGAGACTGCTAAAGAGAACATCTTAACTTTCCTCATATGAAGCTGAACATCTCAGGAAGGAGCAGTTGCCGAGTTAGCATAAAGCAAGAAACATCCCTGATCCGGGGAGTTTGAGGGAAGTTTTGGAAGAAAAGTCCAGTTCCTAAAACTTCCTGAATGCAGAAAAAATCCAGACGGAGCTCGATTTCCAGGCATCAGCTCTGCAGTTTTTAATCTTCCCTCAGGGATGAGTGTTTATCCACTTAAACAGAGTAACCCGAGGCTTCACTGAAACATAAAACACAGCTCTGCTCTTCACGTTTTATGTCTAAGAAATACAGGCATGGCTGGATGAACTGAAGGATTTCCCCCTTTGCAGTAAAGTGCTTTCATGTAACATCTAACAGCCGAAGGTTAATTTTTAGACTGAATCTTTCAGGATGACAATCAATTTGGAAAAAGAAGAGTGAGGAAAATCGTGTTTTCATACCGTCTGTTGAGGTTTCTCACTGAAAGGTTTTGGCCGTCTGGTTTCTCCGTAGCCACTTCCTTCTCCTGAAGCCTGAGAAAAAAAACAAACATTGTTTTTAATCTAAACATTGAAACTGTTAATTTATTATTAAATCACTAAAAAGCAAACCTATAATAGCCACTGCAGATAATTAATTAAAAATGTATTCAATTATTTAATGGTTTCTGTTCCTGGGCTTCGTCACTATGGGCGGGGCTACGATGGTTGAGTTTGACATGGTGACACTTTTTAATAATTTGATGGCATATTTAATAAATTAACTGTCTATTGGGCATTTAATTGTTTAGTTACTTTAAGGTACACTTCATTTAGATTTCAGTGACTTATTTATTGATGAGATTTTGTCCCTTTTGGTCTTCCATAACAATGTGGACTGACGAAATGAAAGTGAAATTTCTTTGGAATGTTCATTGCTTTACATCTGGTGTCAAACTAACCCAGCTTTTCAGAAAATGAAAGCCAGACTTAAATATTTATTCAATAATTTATTGGCATCATTATTTAATTTTGTTCCTCCATACAAATGACTTAAGATGTTTTTAGGTTAATGTTAAATATTTTTCTGCGGTGAAAATACCTTTTTTCTGATGTTAAATTTTATTTGATCATCTTTCTTGATTACATATTTAATTTTGTCGCTTTTTTGCTCTCCATATTAATTGTGAATAAATCTGAAATGCTGCCACCAAGTTCTGGTTAAGTTGCAGCAGATGGTCATTTTAACACGATTACATCAACAGAATGATTTCTTTTAAGCAGAAATACCTTCCTTAACCTTGTGAAATAAAATATGTAGCATTCCTGCAGAAAATGAAGCGCATACAGCTGTTGATCTGCAGAAATTATTCGTCGCTCACCATATCGGAGTCGTCATCCTCCTCGCAGAACCGCGCTGCGACGCTGGTGTCTCCCACCACCCGCAGCTCGCTGATGGCACCCTGAAACACACACACACACACACACACACACACACACACACACACACACACACACCGCTGCTGTTTGATCTTCAACAACACGTATAATCACACACACTCCACACGTGTTCCTCCGGACGTATAAACAGGAATGTTTGTCGTTGCAGTGGGTTTCCTGACATTCCCAAGGAATTCCCCTTACATCCATGGCTCCATCGAATCTGTTTCTGTGAAGTTTTGCTATCTGTTCCTCCATCATCCAATCTGCTGAAGACCTCACACTCGCAGCAGCAGGCGACTCTTCCCTATCAATGAGCCATTACTCTGTGGAAGAGCTTTCTCTGCAGCCATGTTTGAAGTTGACCGTTTAGGATGTATTGATGTCCAGAGTGAATCATTAAAGGGATTTTAGACGAACTGAATTTGAACTCTCTCGTCTTTAATCTTTCCAACGTTCAGATGACCAGGATCCTTTCATCGCATTGTGTCAGATCTTCAACATAAATCTTCAGATTTGCCTCATGAAAAGGTCTGAACAGTCAATGTGGAACATTCACTGGTTTTTAATGGAAGCCGTATTTAAAGTATGTTGTAAACATAAGGATTCAGGCCAAACATAATCCAATTAGGACAAAAAATAAATTTGCACAACTGTCAGATTTGGGAATTTTTAGTATCAACAAATAAAGTTTAAGCCTCCTTTAAACGAATGAAATATTCCCACGTTTTTCCAGGCTTTTCCAGACTTCCATTTTCATATGTTATTATTTTTGGACCCATAATTAACATGGCATATAATTTGGTGTGACTATTTCTTTTTATGAAGTTTAGTGTGTGATAAAGCAATAATGATGTCATCTAACTCCAGGCTTAGATGATATGATGATATGACATGATAAATATAAACCACTCATATCTGAGTGTGTGTGTGTCTGTGTGAGTGTGTCTGTGTCTGTGTGTGTGCGTGTGTGCGCGCGCGTGTGTGTGTGTGTGGACATACTTGTTTATGTTGCTTTGCTAGGACCTGGTATATTTACATACTTTAATGGGGCGCCCAAAGTGGGTCCTCGAGGTCCGGCATTCTGCACATTTTAGTTCTCTCCCTGGTAGTACCAACAACCTTTTCAGCATGTCAATGTTCTTCTTACGCTTCTGACGAGCCATTATTGGATCCAGGTGTGATAAACCAGAGAAAGAACTAAAACATACAGGATCCGGCGCTCAAGGACCCACTTTGGGCACCACTGCCGAAAGAGGACTGAAGACCTTACAGGGTCCAAAGCATGGTCCCTTTTTTGTGGTTTTTGTGCATGATGTGAATTAAGTTTCGGTTGAAGTTGGTGATAAACATAAACGCTGTTAGAACACACTTTGTACCAAAATCACCTCATTTTGTCAAAAACTATTTTTCCCAGAAAAAGGAAAAGAAACACAGAACCAGCCTAGTCTTTTTCTAAATTTGTACAAACCATTCATCTATGTATCTATTTGTTAAACCATCCATCCATTCATAATACCATTCATCCAACCACTTGTTAAACCAACATAATCTGTCCAAACATGTACTCATCCAACCATTTGGTAAACCATCTATCCTTCCATAAATCCGCCCATCACTCTGGCCTCTGTAGGAATATCTGTCTTGAGTAAGGAGTCTGGAAAAGTCTGGAATTTTGGCATAAAAAATATGCAGAAACTTTTTCAACAAATTGAAGACTTTGAAAACATGTCTGTAAAACTGCTTAGTAAATGTTCACTGAATAACCACTGAGCATCTTAACTGGAGGAGTGCAGCCCAAACTGCTGAGGTCAGCATTTATATCTAGAATATATGTCAGCTGAATCATGGCAATGAGATTAAAACCTGGAGCTTTGAATGGCAGGGGAATGCAGGCACATGTTTGGTGTCAACGTGTTTCAGAATAATGGATCACATGAGAGTCATCAGACTCACATATCTGTTATGGCAACAGGAAATGAAAAAGGTTCAGTCTCATCACTGCGGGAACGGCATTAGATCCTGTTCCCGCAGTGATGAGACTGCACTAGTTCAGTCTGAACGCTGAACTAGTGCAGCGTTCAGACTGAATGTGATTTGAGCATCAGGTTTACATGCAGTCTTTATGTTGACACATGCATTTTGTGCGTATCAAGCATCCATCGCTGGAGTTTTAAAATCTAACTTTTCCCGTTGGATCTGGAGCATCAAGCAATCAAAAAGACTTCTCTATGTGACACTGTGGCCTTTAGGTGATGTCCTACCAGTAGATGCAGGCAGTGATGTGTGTTAGCAGGTTGTTAAACTGGGCTCGGTTGAGACAAAAATAGTTCTGATAGAAACCCTCAATGGTGCAAAATTAGGTTGTGGAACTCGCCAAACTCTCAACACCTCTGAATTTTCTGGTGAATTCAAACACGATGCAGTAAATAAAGCCAAGGCACTCTGAATATTTCATCCACCATTGTACAAAGTTAACGGGAGAGGAAATACAGTGGCTTAATTCAAGAGGCTCCTGTGTGTGCACCGTTTGACACGAGATTTGACCAAAATGTCAAGCATCGGACATGTTTTACCAACCTTAAATTTGTCAGGATGCTCCCCTCCAGCCTGGCCCACAAACACCCCAGACCCCGACTGCAGCTCCAGCTGCCAATATGATCGCTCCATCCGCATCACCTGCGGCTCCACGTCACAGTTCAGGTACAGCATGGCCTTGTCGTCCTTTACAGCCACCGCGAAGCGGTTCCAGGTGTTCGTCATGGACGGCACGCGGAACCTGGCCGCCTCTTTGGACTGTGGGGCGTCGGCCTCGCTGTAGAACAAAATGACGTTTTGCTCCGATCCCTGAACAGCCGACAGCTTGACGCCAACGTGAATGATCTGCTGCGAAGAGTCGGTGATGGAGAAGACGATGCCGCCGTCATCGGATGTGGGCTTCAGGCTGAAGATGAGAGCGAAGTTCCTGTAGAAGGGGTTGGGGAAGTGGGCGCGGGCCAGCTGGCCCGTGGCGGAGTCTGGGCCGAACAGGTAGGCGGGGCTGTTGTCCGGGCCATCCACCTCCTGGATCTTCTCTGGAGGAGGATCGCCAATCAGCTGCAGCAGCGACACGCCGCTGTCTTCTGGGAAACACAAACAGGACGTCAGTCTGGAGTCTGATCGGACATAACGAAACTTTATACTGCCGATATTACGACTTTATTCTGGATTTATTACAATTTTATTCTGTATTACTCCAACCTTTCCATTACCACTTTATTCTAGTGGTAATAGAATAACTTTAGTTTTATCATGACTTTGTTCTCATAATAATGAGGTTTTATTCTCATAACAATATGACTATTCTCTTATGATTAATCTTCTATAATTATGAATTTTTTGTTGCATCACTTTTTTCTAATTTTATAATCTTTCTTGGAGTTAACCCTTTATTCTCATAATAATATGACTTTAATATGGCATTAGTACTATTTTTTCTCCTATTATTACAGTATTTTTGTGTAACCGTCTTTTTTCTGGTAATTTTATGACTAGTCACATATTTCCATGACTTCATTCTCTTATAACTTTTTTCTTTTATTTTTATAACTTTATTCTGGTAATATTGCGACTTTAATCACTTATTACTTTCTCTATATTTTTCTTGTAATAATCTGATTCTAATCTTATATTGCAACTTTTTTGTTGTGCCACTTTTTTAAATTTTACAACTTTCTGTAATATTCTGACTATAATCTCGTATTATGAGTTTATCTTCACACAAGTTTTCTGGAGAACAGGAAATGAGTTTGTCGGCCCATCGGACCGGGTTTGGGTTAGAGAGGAGGGCTGCATGGCAGAGTTTGGTGTTAGACCACAAACCGCAAGGCTGCAGGGTTGAGGATGAAACACAAAAGCAACACAAAGAATATTTATTAACGAGTCACAGACAAATCACTCAACTCATACTTTAGAAAACAAAATACAGAAACAGCTGAAATCTAATAACCATCAGAAAAACGGCAAAATGATGTAAAATTGATCACATCCATCTGGTTTCAAACACCATGAAGATCTGAATTATGAAGTGAAGCCACATTTAAAGTCATGAACTCTCAACCCAATGTCGTTGGGTTGAGATGAACACCAAGAAAACTGATTTCACTTCTGTTTGCGGGTGCAACGTAACAAAGTACGAAAAAGTAAATTTTTGACTACAACTTCTATATTTAGCCTAATGTAATGGATGGGTGTGCCAAACGTCACTACATGTTTGTGGCATGACTTTTGAAATAAAAATGAAGACAAGGCCAACTAAATGCTAACTCTGGTCATGAAGATAAACTTTCCACAGAAAATCTCATTCTAAAAAATTACAGAAAGGGCTCAATTTGTACCATGTGGCCCACAAACGGCCCCCAGACCACACTTTGATTAGCCCTTCAAAATATAATGGATATTTATTCAGAATAAATATCCATTATTTATTCTTTTACACCTGGACTCTAAGAGTCTTTCCTGACTCATGAAACTGCTGAGATAAACTGTTCTCCTTTCTTTTAAATGATGTTTTTCCTGTATTGAGAGGAAAAGCAGAGAAATTACTGTTTTTGGACCGTTTTCGGATCTCGTGTGACGTATTTTTGGAGCTTTGAAGACGTGTTTCGGTTTCACCACCTGATGGGAAATGAGTGTCTTTGTCGCTGCGTTCAAAGCCGCCCCGCTGCCACCAGAGCAGGAGAACAGCGGCTCGGCTGTTGGCTTTGTTCAGACGTAAAACGCACAGCTGGAGCCCGGATTGTCCTCTCTGCTGTGAAACCGTAAACATCAGCTGCGATCTGTCAGAGGAATAAAGACGCTTTGATTTGAGTCAGAGCTGACAGAGAGGCCAGTCAGGACGGCGATAAAAATCCTTCCTGCTACGCAGATGTTCTCCGCTCCATGTTTGGCTACTGAGGGAGATGATTGTACTGCGTCCCGATTTAAATACAGTAAAAAACATTACAATGAATTAATCTTGTCACATTGGAAAAAATGCTGCAGATCTGAAACAGAGACGTTTTTACCACTTTTACCATCGTGGTCACCATAAATGGTGGAAGAAAGAGTTCAGTCACTGCCCAGCATTGTTTGTCCCAGTAGGTTTAAACTTGACAAATGTCATCAGAGCCAGGCTAAGAAAATAAAGTCACATCATGAGTGTCAAAAGAAATATGAGAGAAATGTCGTACAACAATAATTATATTATCTAAATAAATTCTTTGTGCGAGAATAAAGTTGCAAAATTAACAGAAAAAAGTCTAAATTATAAAGTTGCACGACTATTAAGTATATTATAATGTTGAATTTTTAATATTACCAAAAATATATAACGGTGTATGACAATAAAGTCACAATATTCCAAGAATATTTTTCAAATGTGTTTTCAGTAAATTTTCCAGTTTTGTGGAATTTTGTGTTAAATTGCACAGAAAACTCCAGGAATCGCTGGAGGTTCACGGCACCGATGGACTTAACTGGTGCTTATCCTGTATTTATGTTTAAATCTTTTTAATCTTCCACCAAACTGTAAATGTGCAGAGGCTGAGCCACAGTTTTGAAACTTTTCTGTTTTGTGTTAACAACCACTGACATTAAATTTATTATTTCTTATTAGAATTTTATTACCATGAATCCAGAGCCTAACCAGATCATTATGTGTTTTAGAAATAGTGATATTTTTGCACTTCTACTGGCTCAAACTACTGAAATATGAAATACATTTATTTTAATTCAACAACTAAATGTAGAAAAAATTCAAATGTAAATAGAGAAGGAGAAAATGAAGTAATTACAATAATAATCCAAGAGTTGGTTGATGCAGCTTTGGTGCTGACTTGCTGATATGGCATCTTGCTAATGATCAATATCTCATCTTGACAAACGCCTTGTAAAAATATCCACTTGAGTTGTTTGAATGTGGTTCAGAGGCATTCAGGTACGCCTCGCCTGCTGCATGAATGGCAGCCAACAATAAACAGTCATTTGCAGCGAGCAGAGCAGATGTTTGCTTAGATAAACTCAGATTGGGAGACATGCAGAGTCTCAGCCCGGCTTCCCATGAGCTCATTCATCAGACGCTTGGAAAACTGCAAAAAAGTTCGGCTCTTAAACGCAGCGCTTTGTCAAAAACGGAGAACATCCAAAACTTTTCATGCCTTGAGTAATCCAGAGGATTCCTGTCTCCTCTCTCCCGACTCTTTCTTCTACTGTTCATACTTGTAATTAACTTTAATACTCCTGCCAAAACATTGTATTTGCATCTTGTTGGAAACTTTCTAAACCTGTCATTAGAGGCAGCATAGCTCCTGCAGAACAGATGTGCTCTCCTTTTACATGCAGGCTGGCAAAAGGAGACAAAATGTTTCCATGAATCTGTAATTCTCATAAATTTTCCAGATGCTGCAATTAGAAAATTTCGACCAGTTTGCACAAGAATTTGCAACAAAATCCGATCCGACGAGCGTGCAAAACCGCTAGCGACACAAAAGCTTTCATCATTAGCATTTTAAGTACAATCTGAATTCGGGTCCCCATAATGGCCGCTGTCGAACAATAGAAGCTTCAAGGTCAGCTGAGCACCAAAAATAAAAGAGCTGCTGATGAAAGGAGCTGCTGGGTTTATGGTGACAGTTTGTCTTGTCAGGCTGGCCACCTACCAACCAGGAACGCAGCTCTTTGTCTCTAAGCGGCATTCCCGCACGGGGCGCCGCTGGTTGCGATGTCCCGAAGACACCATGAGCGCTGCTTTGGGAAATCAGGTCTGGTGGTAAGATAGCGGGACTTGGCAGAAGAAAAGATCTCAGTGTTTTATTTAAGAGCTTAAAATTACGTCCAAACATTCAAATCCGACACATCCGACTTTTTAATGGCAATCTGAGCGATCCGAGTCCGATCTTTTCATCAAATAAAGAAACAAAATCTACGTTGAAATATTATGTTCTATTTGTAAAACCAATTCTGAAGTACAAATTCAGCAGATCCTCAATATTTCTCTTTTTATTTAATTATTTTTGTGCAGAAATCATAACATTACCACTTCATTCTTATATTATGACATTCCTCTGGTATTATTACAATCTTCATGAATTACTGTACTCTTATAACTTTGTCTCCAATTATGACTGTTTTTCATAATATTGAGTTTATTCTTGCATTTTGAGTTCATTGTCACACAATTTATTCTCATAATGAGAATATGAGACACACTAACAATAGTTTTAATATCAGTGGTTTAACTGTTCTTGTCATATTAGTGTTATTACAAACGGTTGTACATACAAAGATTTTTTTAATCTTATCTATATGTAAAATGTTTTTTTTGTAGTTTTAGCTCAGTTCCTGCTCTCTGTGTTCTCTCAGCAAATTGCCCTTTTTCTGTAAACTTGAGTTAGTGATTAATCGATTCCTACATTAGTTAACAGTTATTTCATTAATCGATTAATCACGTTTAATCCAATTAATCATTTCAGCCATAATCACATCAACTTCCCAGTCCATTCAAAGTCATTTCAATACATTTATCAAATCAAAAAAGAAAACAAACCTTCCTACATGCAGGAAGGAGAATCTATTTCTAAAAGTTTTGAAGTTAAAAGCAAAGTGAAAATGCAGGACAACTCTCAGCCATAATTGGAAACTCAACGAGAGCCAAGTCAGAGTGAATCCCTGCCAAGAACCGCCATGAGCCACTCAACTCAGATGAATCATCATGCAACTAATCAGTCGGGTCACTAAAACCAGACGAAACAAAGACTACAGACGCAACCCGAATATGTCAATTAAGGATGAGAAAGATGGTTTCCCCCACAGGACATCGTCTCAAACCCTCTGGGATAAATTGCAGTTGACCTTTAGACCCTGATATGAATGACTGCTCATCTTTCAAGGAAGAGGCTGGTAACCATGGAAAAACGTAATTAAAGGAGTTGTTGAGCCCTAACAATCCTGACCCCCAACGGTGATGGGATCACGCCTGATGGGAGTCGCACTGAAAAGTCCACAACTGCCTCACAGTATCCTGAAAATACACGGTTCCAGGTCACAGCTTGGCGAGCCAGCCAGGAGAGAAACACGTCCAGGGGTCGTCATAATCAGGATGAAGATGGAAGATCAGAGAACGCCTCAGAGGATGAACCCATGAAGAAGTCATGAGACTAATAACGAAGGCTGACAGGAAAACATTAACAAACTGTTGAAGCAGATTATCTTCAGTTTTTACTGAAATCTAGGTAAAATAGCTTAATATTCCTCAGAGGTTAGATGCTTCAGAACCTCCCACAGTTAACAAAAATCACGCACACCTCCTCTGTGGGTTAACGGTTTATTAAGGTTTATTCTTCCAGCTGACGGTTCGGTAGACTCTCTTCGACTGGAAGTCAAAGAACCGGGCTGCTGTGAATGCTCTTTAGGTTTATCTGAAGGATTTAGAGTAAATAGACAACTTAGGCAAAAATAATAATTCAACAACAAGAAATACCACCAAGTGCAGCCTGTTTTAGTTTTACACAGATTCTTTAGATGACTCGATCTGACATCCAATGAGACTTCAGTCAACAGAGATGAGGCAGAAAAGCTCAAATCTACAACAGAATGACTGAAAAAGTCCTTTTCAATGATGTAAGACATGAAATCCAGTAGAAAACCTTTGCTGAAAACGTTTTTCTCACCTAGTTTCCTACAAATTAACTTTTCTTCATGAATTGTAAAGCTCAAATTTTGTTGCCTGTTACAACTTTCAGTTGAATAAAGTTCAACATCTATGTTGAAGTTTTGCTCATCAGCTGTTACATTCAGTAGCTCGATGTTCATTTTGACATTTTGTTTATCCAGCAGTTCTGTTTCTCTCGCTTTTTTCCTCCCAGTAACGTTTATTTGAAACAAGAAACATACAGGAAGAAAATAAAACTTATTCTAAACATAAATACAATATCTAAGAACTTAACAAAGTATGTAAATTAGAACATTTAAATTATACTGTAGCTCCAGAGTTGTAGTCTTTCAATGGCGGGTTTAATCTCAATTGAAGTTAGCGCTTTAGCATTAGCTTCTGTAAAATACCGTGTTGGTGTAGAGTGTTAACATTAACAGAACAAATGTGCAGGATGAGTTTTCAGGGGCTAGCATCGCTAACTTTTTGGCTAGCAGTATCCACAACCGTCATTAGCTTTCTGTGAAAGTATTGTGTAGCGCATTAACGTTAGCTAACCCTCAGTGATTAGTGTTTATTTCTGAATGATTTTAGCTGTAAAACCCTTGGTTTGATCCACAGTGACTGAATGCAGCCGGCTAACATGTTGCGGTTTATTACTTCTGCAGTTTTGAGGCTCCTAATCCCTTCCCTTCCTGACACTGTTTCACACCGACTCAAACATCTCTGCTGGTCGCGGGACCAGAAAGGCGATGTCCACTCATGTCTGTCAGTGAAGCTTGGTGTCTAAAAGATAACGTGCTGTAAAAAGACCATCTTCAGTTCCCACTGATAGGAAGATGGGCAGAGGAAGAACCGACCTCCAACATAAAGTCGGAAGGTTTCAAGCTATGATAGTTCGACACAAAACTATAAAACCATGGATCCTCTCACAGTAATCACTTATGGACTAAACAACTGAGCCAGTGTCTCCATCCTCATGAGAGACATGGTAATATAGGGGATTATATTACTGATTTGATCCTATCTGCTAATTTACGATGCAGCAGAAAAAAGATGCTATTAATCTGGATTACAGCTGGTTCTTAACTTTTCATCCCGATACACAGGAAAACATGTCGAGGTTTGGCGATTTGGGGAAATTCAGGGTTCAACACAACAAATCCTCTCTAACTTCACCTTTTACCAGGTTCTAACATATAAAGCTGACCTGTCAAAAGAAATCCAAAGCCGTCAATATTCCAGACAAATAATTTTAGTAATCGATTATTCTGTTGATTATTTTTAATATTAATCCGATTACAAAAACCCAACGAAGATTTTTTTTTTCAAAATATTAAAAATACACAAACATTGATTTAATAGAATAAATTTTTTTAAGTAAGAAGATTTTATTCCCAAAAGTGCAATAATATATCATTTCTTCAGTGAAAGCTTACTTGACTTAACATCTACAGTGAAAGGCTGAACTGGAGATTTGTTTTTGGATTAATTGATTAATAGTTGGATAATAAAAGGTGATTAACAGGAGACTCTTTTCGCAGACAAAAAGGTTTTTTCAGAATAAAATGCAAATTATATATTTTGTTTGAACAAGTTTGGCTTAATTATTCCTGAGTATCTCGCTTTTTATGAGTCTGTGTAATCCAGGTTAACGATTAATCTGATTTATTGATAACCAAAACAACAACAGACGTCTAACTTAATTCAACAGAAAACATCTGGAAACATTAGTTTAGGGGAAGCTAAGTGTGCTAACTGTTTTCAAAGTTAGCGAAAGTGCTAAACAAAAATTAGCTTCACGATTAGCAGCTGCTCTTGCAAGAGCTGCTTCTGGTTTTGCTGCTGCTTGTGTGAAATCTTAATGATGTGGTTGTGTTCATTAACCACCCTATGGCTGCAACAAACCAGGAAATCCTAATCTAGACGCTAACGCCAACATATGCTTCTTTAAAGCATAAAATGTGTTAAAGTTGAGACAGATTAGACTTTTGCGGCATGGTGAGAAAATCACAAGCATGTCAGAGAAACACAAACATGCAACAAAAGTAGTCGGGATCCAAGCTTGTTAGGCTGCAGCCAGAATGTCCCAAAGGTTAATTCATCAAACGTCGACGTTGTTAATATCTCAGGGTGGGGATGAGGTTCTGGGGAGAGGATTCTCAAACCAGTTCTCAAAATGATATAAGGTTCATTTTGAGCCAGCGGTTACCTTTCTGGTTACAAACTGTCAAGCACCGAAACCCATCATCCTCCTCATCTGGCAGAGCCTGGCACTCCACAGGGAGGCGACCCTCATCCAGGAGCGCCCAGCAACTGTCCCGCAACACTTCACAGAAACGGCGGCAAGGCAATGTGGGTGGCGCCGCCGCAGGGCCACACTTTGGGACCAAGAGGAGGCAGAGAAACCACTCCACGGCGTGGTGGCAGCGCGACCGCAGCAGCGGAGCCCACTCTTCCAGGAGCGCCCGGACTTCTCCCACGCTGCTGTGGTTGAAGTAATTGGGCATGGTAAAGGTTTCCCCCATCATGGAGGAGCAGAAAGGAAGAGAGAAATCTAGCTTCAAGCATTGTGAGGATCCTGCTGGTGCCTCAACACCTACGACTGCCTGGCTAAGCTGTTGATCCCCTACTGATGGTTGAGCAGCATCTGAAACATGTGGAGTTGGAGCTAAGTCAAGTTTATTAGCATAGCAAATGAGCAACATGGCAGTTCATAGTGCTTCACATCATAAAAACATAATTGAGTCACCAACAAACAAACTTCTCAAGCAAATATACAGCAAATATGTTGGTTGATGTTTTAAAGTGTAAATACTGTTGCAGTGCCACTAAACATAAACGCCTGGATGAGTTTCTCTCTTGCTTCATAATATGTAAACAAAACTAAAGAGACATAAGTCGTCTTGTCCCGGAAATGTTTTTCAGGTGACAGAAGACCGACTTTGGAGCCGTCTTTATGTGGCTCTATATGTTCAGGTCAGAGATTTCAGGTCTGATCTCTGGTTTCTACCTGTAGATCTGTGTAGCTGGAGAAGCACTGAAGCTAACTCTTGACTAGACGTTTCATGCTGAGTCGCTGCGGTGGATACATCAGTGCCTGGCGTATTGCTGTTTATCGCTGGTTGTGTGATACGAGTTGCTTCTGTTGGGGAAAAACTCTGGCGGGTTGATGGATGTTGACTTGTTACTGGAGGCTGAAATGAAGTCGAAGTCGGACTGTAAAATGTTTCACCAATAAAGTCTGTTTTCTCTGCAGAGAAAAGTCTGAGGAGAAAACTATAGGAAACTGTAGTTTTCTATAGCTCTGTTTTCTATAGTTTTCAGAAAACTATAGAAAACAGAAAAAGTCTGTTTTCTTTGAGAAGAAGGACTCAACACTAAATTGCTGAACCTTCCTTGTGAATCTTCCTTAGGAAACTTCTGGTTGTGAGATTTCAAACTGCCCCCAGTAACAGTGTCATGGGTATTACCTCAGTTCCTGTTAGAAGAACTTGTCTGGAGCCAGATTTTGGATCTAAGACCCTAAACAATCAGATTCTGCATGAGAAGATGTCATTACCGGGTTTACTCCTGCGTGATGTTATCCCTGCGGTGGCTTGTCCCACTCCACGCCCCCTGTCTGGTAGCGTTGAAGGAACTACAGTCGTCACTCGAGGACCTTCAGTGGTCTCATCCCAAGTCTGCCCAACTGTTTGGAGCACGTGTCCTTCATCAATGATCTCTGCTCCAGCTGCGGTGCTGCTCTCAGATGGAGGCTCGCCGCTACCTGTCGCAATGCCAGAACCCTCCAGTTCCAACCTGGGCGCCAACGTTGTGCCGGTCTCACTCCAGGACCAGAACCAAGCCTCGGAGTAGACCACCCACAGGGTCAGAAGGGGCAAAGCTCTGAACCAGCTCCTCATTGTGGTGTCCGACCGGATGAATCAGCCTTCCAGAGGGAACTATGACATGTCCACGCAGTCTTCACACACTCCTTCCCTCTGCTCTGTCACCACACACTCCAGCAGAAGTGGAGAGGAGGGCGTCCATTCAGAGGAGTGCAGAGGAGGTGTGCGCCGTATTGGCTGCCTTAGTAATATTTATGCTGCTAACTCCTCCTCCTCCTTTTGTGGCAGCAGTGAAAAGCGATCTCTCCTGCTGAGTGATACCTCAGAGTTTCAGCAGCCCGGCCTTTCAGGTTACGACACTGATGCTTTCAGAGACGGGCAATTTGTTCCCGTCTTTGTTAAGTTATGTTAATTAGAAAACTATAGATATGGGCTAAGGGTGATTCAGGTTTTCAACCAAAGTTATTACATCATAAACTGTGGGGACAGTTTGAGGACAGGCAACAATGTCCCAGAAACTGAAAAACAGAATCAGGCTGCAAATAACAACAGAACCCGGACTCTATGAACAAACATACAATTTGGATGTTTAATAGTAAGAAGCTGTTCTGAACTAACTGTGATTTCTGAATTTGGAGTTTCAATTATGCTTTAAAACTGACAAATCTGTAAAAAGTAGATAATTTTTGATAGCACTTTATGATGACCTCCAAGTTACATTCTTAAATGGTAATATATTTATTACCATTTACCACTTTTTGGTTCTGCCAAAAGTCCAAAGAAAGTTCGGTGAGCTTTTGGTGGTTTATGGCTGAAGGATTACCGTAAAGCCTGTTGAAGAGAAACGTGTCACAATTATTCTTTAAGTTGATTGTTTCAGAACCTCCTCAGTAATCCAGGATTCCTGCCCAAACCGATCACAACGCCTGCGGGTTTGTTTGACAGAGACCCTTCACAGCCACTAATGGCCGCTGGCTGATAAAAGCTGAAGTCCCTTTTCCGTCAGAGCATTTGGGTTTTAAGAGAAACAAAGGCTTAAAGTCACTGATTGAAAACCAGTGAACTCTTATGCAGATGTTTTAATGTCAGGTTGACAACTCTAAGACTTTGTTTTGCTTCTGCAAGGATTGTGTTTTAGTTGGATTAGATAATTATGTTAAATATTTAATTGTGAAGGAGTGTTTTTTTGTTTGTCTTCTTGTGCCTTACAGAAAGTCCCTGAACTTTTTATTTAGCTAGAAAAGCAGAAGGTTTTTGTGTTGTCTGCCTGGAGAATGATCTGAGTTTCCCCGCGGGGCGAGAAAGATGCAGCCCTTTAAAACAACCAATCACTCATTGTAAAACTGCCAAAACGGGACAATTTGATTGCAACTGTGGACATAATGACAACTCCAGGAGGCAAAAGGACTTTCTCGAGTTAACCTTCAACAATGCATTTCGAGAACCAATTTCAAGCCTCATTTTAAGATTACTGCTAACTTTGGAGGGCAATTCCCTTCTTTCTTCTGGTTATCTAACATTGAATCAAGATGTGTGGAAGTTTAAAATAAACTAAACAATTTCCAATGAGCAGTTGGAAGGAAATGTAGCCAAACACACCTTCTGTCAACTTGGCAAAGTATTTAGCAAAAGGTTTGCTTGTCAGCAGTAATTGCAGTGTAGGAAGAAAAACAAACTAAGCAGAAACATAAATTACACTTGAAGATGTTTGTTCAACTTGAGTCTGCATCTTTTAGCGCATGTAATCTCCAGACATCCAACGCAGAACATTCTTTATGGAGTTTGTCAGAAATTATGTGTGGCTGTTTTCAACGTTTCTTTCATCTCTCGTTGCGCTAATAAAGAGTCTCCTTAAGACATGAAGAAGAGCTGGCTGGAGGACTTCCTGTTTCAAAGTGCTGTCGCTCTGTTAATTACAGCTTGAGGGGTTCAAAAGTTGGGACTGTGTGCTTAAGGCTGAAGAAAAAGAAATAGGAGAAGCTCAAACTACAGCTTTCTAAACAAGACCCCCGAAAGCATGATACAGTTGGTATCTATGGAGGGCTGATCATGCCAAAACTGGCAACTATAGAGATAAATAAATGGCTTTATGAAGTACTTGATGTGTCAAATACATCAAATAAAAAGTTAAATATTACTACTATTAAATTTAAACAAAAGTATAAAAAGAAAATATTAAATAAAAAAATAAATGTATGATTTTAAAAAATTGCAATAAATAACCCAAAAATAGACTGTGAAGAGGTTAGTAAAGAAATAAAATTACACTAAATAAGGAAAAATTTTAAATAAATAAAACAAGATTGAATATTAAATAATAGTGATCATGTTAAATTAATCCTGTTGAATATTATTTTAATAAATTAATCTGTTGTGACAATATCTAATTAAATAAATTAGGAAAGTTCAGATTTTCTGTTTTTGGATAAAATATTGCTCACATTAGTTTTTTTTTATGAAGCCATTTATTTATTTCCATATTTAATGCCAATTTTGGCAGGATCAGTCCTCCGTAGTTAATTAGGAAGTTGAATGGTATCAAAGTGTTATTTGTTAAGTGTGATAATGTAGCACTTGTTAACCAATTCAAAGCTAAAATGTGACTTGTTTTCCTTTGGTTTACAAACATAAAGCAAACTGAAAAACCTTTGTCATTTTTTATGATGTTTAAGAAATCCTGAAGATGAGAAGAACTTCCAGCCGTGTGTCTGTCCTCACAAGAACAGACAGAAGGATGCAACCCGACGCCAGGAATGAGTCCGTCAGAGAGCAGGTGACTGATCGACTCTCTGCTGCACCAACATCCCTCTGATTCCCATATCCCATTTCACACCCTGAGGGTTCATTTTAAACACTCTAAATTTAACATCCCTGACTAATTTAAGACCAGAACAGCTTTAAATAACGAACCAGGAAGCTTGAATTGCTCCACTGAAGAGCAGCAACACAAAGGAAATGGTGCGGTTTTCCCTCCAGAACAGGAGGAATCACTGGAGCGCTTTCTGGTAGACACATTAGCTCTGAATGCTTCAGTAATTCATAGTTTCTGTGAGAGAAACTGGTCAGTTCAAATAACAAACCTGTATATTTGAGAATCAGGAAGTTTAGTGAAAGTAGCCTGTAAATTACGGGTACATTTTGGAAAGAAACAGTCTGAGAAGGTATTATCTGATTTATACACTGCAGGTAGAAATGTGTCTGATTATTGTCAGATTATTGGCAGCAACCCAGACAATAAAAACCATAATGATTTCCACTGCTGCCAAGCTGATAATAATGCTTTAGCAATTTTGCTAACTTTGAACATTTAGCACACTTAGTTTCCCTGAATTTAATTTTTCTGATTTCTAAAGCGGTAATTCACACAGCTGCTTTGTAAACTTTCGTTGGGCTCCTTTAATGTTAAGTTCTAGGAAAGTAACCTGGAGGTTCATTTTACGTCCAAATGTAAGTTCTCGAAAAAATAAAACTTTAAAGAGCGCTTGTTATGCAAAATTCACTTATTGCATGTTTTCGTACAGCTGGTTTTTGGAAAAAACGTTTAATTTCTTTTAGTATCTGGAAAAGGAGCCAATTCAGAAACATCCCAAATGCTGAGTCGCTTTCAACCGTCACCTAGCAACCTCAGCCAAGCCCAGCCTCAAAGAGGAGCTCCAGCATGTTTGGTCAGCTGGTTTTACCACTGTATGCACTGTACAATGGCAGCTGGAAGAGACAAGTGTTTTGTAATTGACTTACTTTCCAGAAACAACTTGCTGCATTCTTGTTGTTTGTACAGGAGGTTCTACTAATGCTTTTCAAAGATGCATGGTTGTATAATTGCTCATCTGTTTGCAACATTTTCCTGTGAGTGTAAACGTTGAGTGGGGGGGCGTGGCCAGCAGCAGATTATTAGAATTTAAAGTGACAAGGCAGCCTAAAACACGTGAAATCTCATTATCTAAGAATAATGAGATTCTTCTTTGTGCAATAATTTTGCCCATATAAACAGCAGGTTTTAGGAAAAGCAGACCATAATAACCCAGCCTGACTGCAGCTTGGCCTCCATCAGCTCCAGATTTTAGCAGCACCCTCCCCGCCTTGCTCATCACGTTGAAAGACCCTAATTTAAACGACATCTCGGCCTCCATCTCTCAGATCTCTGCAGTGAATGTGTGTCACTGACAGCCACAGAAAGAGGAGCAGGGGGTTGTCTAACAGAATGGAGGTCATGGGGTCACAGCTATCGCGCTCCAAGGGAAAGGGTTCTGGTTTCCCACAGATGGAGACTTATCAGGCCTGCAGGGGCAGGTTCTGACTGGGCCGCCCCGCCTGAGGGATGATCAGTCAGACATCAGGCCATAAACTGTTAAACTGTCTCAGAGAAAGTCCAACAATAAGTGGAAGACATTGGCATAAAAACATCCAACCTTTGAGTTGCACCATTTGGTAAATTTAACTTCCATGAAGATATCAAAATATGTCGAGCAGAACTGACTGTGTTCTGAAGTCTCCAATGATGTGATTAGGGACAGGCCCAGAGTGCAGTCAGCCCAGGACGGCCGCGGTTCCCTCGCCTTTCTCAGCCATGGCTCAGGAATGTGGCTTCCATTGTCCCAGTGAGAAACCCAAAGACATTCCTGCAAAATCTGGTGCCTCTAAAATGTCTGCCAGACTCTTCTGCATTATTTCTGTCTGCAGAGAAGTGGATATGAGTTCTGCCAGGGGCAGGAATGGCTTTCCATACAATTCGTAAAGTTACTCAGTCAAAAAGTACAGCAACAATTTAGTCTGTTAGAAGAGAAAAAACATGGCCGTTCCTTTTTTAAATGTCCTGTTTTCACAAAGTTATTCTATTATAAATGTCACAGTTTCAAACTAAATATTTAGTTTACAAAGCTAGCTCACAGCTAAACATTTAGATAGTATCCATATTATAGGTAGGAGTCAAAAATCACTCCAGTTAGAATTTATTAAGACATTTGCAATGTTTCGGTATTACGCTTACAATTCTCAGCAAGAGAATTAAAAATTTATTTGAAGCTACTTTTATTTATAAATTTATTTGACATTTAGTTTGAAGCTAAATATGTAGCCTTAAAAATTTAGTTTGAAGCAAAAAAATTTGATAAATTAAATATTTAGCTAGCTAAATATAGCTTAAAGGAAAAACATTTAGCTTGCTAACTGGATATTTAGTTTTAGTCCTAACTGAACACTTAGTTTGAATCTAAATATCTGACTTCAAATGAAATATTTAGTTGGGCATCAAACATTTAGCTTTCTAACTAAATAGCTTGAAGAAATAGCTAGCAAGCTGAAAACTAAATATTTACCTTGCTAGCTGCTTCTTTTCCC